TTACCGGTAACACCGTTACTTGTAACGGGTTACAAAACGCGGTCCAGACGTCACGCCGCTGTGGTGGAGCTGATGTTAGAGAGTTTTAAGGAACCGTGTTTGCAGGTCCGATACGGTACGGCGGGCCTTCCGGTACGATCTGCGCAAGCACTACCGCAGAAGACTCGCGCATGCGCAGTGCGTACCGGAGGGCCCATCGAACCGTATCGGATGTGCACGAACGGTTTCCTAAATCTCTCTAACGGCGACCCACCTGCGCAGACGCTTCACCCAAATGTGCCTTCTGCGCGCGCAGTTTACTCACACCTCGTGGGGTGAAAAAGCGGACTAGCTTGTCAGCGCGTTGGCCTATCGGGAGCATTCACTGGCGGCCATAACTGCGTGCGTGCGCGTCTGCTGAGCACCTACGTGCTGACGGGCGAGCTTCCACAGTTCTCTTGCAATGTGCAGTCCACACCATCAAGATTTCCGGTTTTAGCAGATTATTAATATGGGCTCGTTCTGAACATGCGCTCCAAACATCGCCCTCAAATATGGCGTCCGTAGAATACTCCCTGTGTGAGTGTAATGATTGTAGCTGACATACCTTGCCCTATTTTTGCAACAAATCACGATAGCAACGTGGCAAAACATTATCACACGGAACGTTATGCGGCGTGCGATCGAGCGATGCGGTCTGCGTGTTCGCAAGAAACGCGTCGATATTTCGCGAATTCGGCCTATCCTTCCGGCTGCCTTTCGCTCAATACTGCCTAATGTTATCCCCAAATGACTGATTTCGTCGCGATAATCTTTTATTCGGCGGCGCTATTATATCGCTCTTATACCATATCGACGCTGCTGCCCTGCCTGATGACTTAGCTTCCGGTGCACTTATGATACAATTTAATACTGAACAGCATAAACGTTCCCCAGGATTTGTATTTGCCTTACCACTTAAGCCGGCGTCCCACTGCTCATGCATCATACCAAAGACAGTCTGCAAACACGAGGGACAGCAATATCCGTGGTTCGAATTCCGCCTGCCAAGTTTTACTTCGAACTCATTGCCATGCGGCATTCGAGGCACGCATTTCACGGTGATTCGCGCTCGAATCTTTATGCAGACTGTCTCGTGTATGATGCATGAGCAGTGTGACCCCGGCTTTATGGTTGACTATATTCAGACCCGCGTATAACTACTTTCTTTCGGACAACCATTATTCTGCAATTTTGCTCTCGTACCACGTAGGAATGTATACCGCCTGTGATAGTAAACACCTTGTTAGACCTACCGAGTCTGCTTGCCGTCGTGTGGGAGATGTCTTAGTGCGCGCAGTGGACCAACGAAAACTACTTTCGTAACATTCTCGTCGCTGCTTACAACAGACCTAGAGTAAATTGTTCTTAACGCTCATCTTTTTTGGAACCCTCGTCGTCCCACCAGAAACAACGACACTAGCAAGAGCAAGACACCTTTCCCCAACTCCCGGCAAACTTCGGCGCCATACCAAGTCGACCCAAGGCAGCTTCGCTCTTCCGTGTTCCATTTTTTTTGTTGTTGTTTTGTCTTGTTTTCTTTGAAAGCGCCGTCGCCGCTTCTCATCACCATAACTGCATATGCATGCGGTGAGCGTCCCTTCGCAGCAAGCGCCGCTCTAGCCGAAGAACACCTCCGTGTTTGCGATGAGAACGCCTCCTCTCTTTGCGCGTAGTTGCCGCGCAGTTGTTTAGACCACGTACCTTTGTTGTTGTTTTGTTTGTGTGCGCCACACGGGCTGTGCCCAACCGCCGGAGCCGAACGAAATGTCTAAACCGTCGAGCCTGGAGACTTGGAGCAGGATGGGAGGTTTCCGCTATGCCATCAATAGGGGGCGGTGATATTGCCGTGCATTCGAGGAACAATATGCACTCGCATCCGCAGAGAAGCGGCGAACATTGCCTTATTAAAGGACGGCCATTTACTAGTCTTTGGCAAAGTATTGTCGCGGAATAGAAGCGGAGGTTCTTTGGCGAATTTGCCGGCAAATTTGCGCTCCGTATAGAGCGTGCAAGTTTGGCCGGTCCTTGCGCCCATCGTGGGTTTGTTTACCTCCAAATTGGAACCACGTTATCTGGTTTCCCCTCCTGACTTTAACCAATGATAGCCCGAGCTCGGCTACACCGTCGTCGCGCATTCTCTACGTTACCCCTTTGATTGACGTGCCTCCCTTTGCGTTTCGGTGCGCCAGAGACGCCATGTAGAACACTCGCTCGCATTATTAAGAGCTTCTTAAATGTATCAAACAACACACTGTTTTACAGACAAGTCAGTGCTTGCCCATACTTTGTGCAGGCATTGCTTGTGTGCAGAAACTGGATTCCCATGAAGTGAAGCGTGAAGTGTGTAGGCTTCAATGCTTGGCGTTTGACTTATGCGCTGACCGATAACGCTTATCGCGTACGTCTATAATAAGTAGATACTTCACGCATGATGTCATAGTCGCAGGCAGCTCAAGAGATGGAGGGCGTGGCGTGTGCACATCATATTATTACTGTTCCAGAGCCAATGAGGTTACGCTATGAGCTGATAAAAAAAAAAAAAAAACATATGCAAACGGCTAAAGACGCCTTAAAAGGGAACACAAAACGTGAACATAATAAGCCACGCCTAACGTTTCGTAAGTTGTCGGTGACTTTACAGGGTGTTTCACGCAAGAGTGATGGTTACAAAAAATAGAAAAAGGAATGTGAACTAAACCGCAATTCCTCCGGGATTACGTTGTCCACGGCGGCGGACGTAAGGACGCAAGTGTAAGGTGCTAATCAGATTTTTAATTAACAAGAATTCACTAATTAACATTTTGACCTTCTGTTTCAGTTAGCGTGCTTCAATTAGAGATTTTCAACCCGTCGCCTACTCAAAGTAAAAAAAAAAAAAAATTGAAAAGTCTCAGCAAAACAAATTCTGCTTGAAGTTATTACTAGGTGACTTTTGGGCAATCACGGCAGCGAGAAATCGGAAACTATGGATTCGAAAGAGCTCGCCAGGAGCGCCAACAGTTCCACTGTCGAAAAGGCGCCAGAGTGTGACGCGTGGTGACCCGTAAAGTTGCTGTGAACTCGTGACCAAAAGCTTTGGCCAAATTCCAAACTGGCTCACGACCTGCTTCCACGAGCCGATTTGAAATTAGGGCCAAAGCTTATCGAAAGCCCAGATATATCTGCGAGATTTGTGTAAAAATGCTAAAATATATTCAGAAAACCAGTTATTGTGTATAAGAGACGCACGCGACGAATTTCCATTTTGAATCGGCTCGCGGGAACAGGCCACGATAAATGTGCGATTTCGCCAAAGGTTTGGTCACGTGTTCACAGCAACTTACGCGTCACCAAACGTCATACTCTGACGCCTCTTTGGCAGCGAAACTGTATTCGCTTCTTGCGCGCTCTTTTCTTAGTTAGTTTTGATTTTTTGCTGCCGTGACTGCCAAAATTTCACACTCAAAAACTCGAAGCAGATTTTTTTTTTCTGAGATCTGTCAACTGCTTTAATCTCAACAAACGGCGGGCTTCAAATCTGTAAATGAAACATGCTTGCTAAAACAAAAGGCTGAAAAGTTGATTAGTGCCTTTTTGTGAATTGGATATCTAAGGAGCACTTATACACTTGCGCTCCTTCGTCTGCCGCTGTGGAAAACGTAATCCTGAAGGAATCGTGGCTTTTTTCACCTTATTTTCAGCTAAGAGTACTTTTTTAGGTAATTGTTGCTCTTACGTAAAACAATCTGTATAGGCCGGATGTCCCAAACGGACTTTCCTCTGTAAAACAAGCCGGAAACATCGGCGCCTGCTCGTAAGAAGTTGAAACTTTCACCGACTATGGAATGAGCAGCTCTGTTTTACCATGTGAAATGTTAAGGGGCAGTTCTCTTTCTGTAAGACATTAGAGCAAAAAAACTTGCTAATGTAAAGGTTGGCCGCGTTCGCAGGCGACCGAGTTACCGACGCTATTTACTTGTGGCACCATTCCCCAATACGCGCAGCTTGCAAACAGCACGCTAGAGAACTGTATTGAAGTTTTACACGGTGAAGCTGACCTGCTCTGCGAACATTTGGTGAAATTTGGAGCTTTCCACGAGCAGGTGTCGATTTGTTCGTCTCTTTTTAAGGTCCGCTTGGGACACCCTATAGTTTGTAACAACAAATATTATTATTGTTTTAAATGTTTTTTTTTGTTCTTTTGGTCAAGTTTTTATCGGCTGCAAAAATAAACACCATGGCAGAAAAAAAAAAAAAAACAAGGACGCCATAGCTACCGTCACAGCTGATTAGTGGTGTTACCGCCGCTTTTGAACCAGTGTTCTAAGTTGCACCGTAAATTCCAGAAAGCTCGTTTGGAGCTAGATACTGCACAGCTGTACACAATAAAACAAAAAAAACTTATATATAATAAATTGGCCTCAGAGTGCCGAGCTCTGATTGGAAGGATGGAGGGAAGAGGCAGTGTCCAGCTGCCCTTGTCTTTAGCGGCTATCTCCCCTACAACCAGAGTGAACAAGATGTCGTGGGCTCCTCGCTCTAATTGGAGGGCGATAAAGCGTTTAGGGGGAGAAGGAGACAGCTTGCCTTTTGCGTCTACCCAATATCCTTCTAATCAGAACGCAGAACTCTAACGTCACCGCACACTCTCAAATCCTCCTCTCTCTCTCTCTCTCAGTTCCTCACCGTATACGCCCGCGTATTGAGTGTGCACGTGTAATGAAACACGCACTTTCAGACTTCAGGTTTGAATACTCGATTCCTAAACGTGGCCTGTAAATTGTCTCGCCGGGAAACTGTTACTTTTGTTTATGCCTTTCGCCTTTGGGAACGATGCTAACATGGTTACCGTTTTTGATAACAAGTATTGATACTTCAGTTGGTTGAAAGACCGACGCAATTTCAATTTGTGCGGCTCGTGACAAGACGACCGAAGTGCAAAACGTCGAGTCCATGGATTGATTTTTGCCTTCGTAATGTTTGCCGTTGTGGATGTGCAGCCCGTGGAGCTCACCGGAGTCCTGCCGAAGGTCGGACCACAGTCTGGAGGCACGAGACTGTACTTGAACGGAACCAACCTGAATGTTGGTAGTCACGTGAGCGTCCATCTGGATGACATCGTCTGCCACGTCGAAAGGTAACATTGACTTCATCCGCTGACGCCACTGGAAAGTTCCTTCGTGCTTCCCCTGTAAAGAATGCTTGACTGCTTCCCAAGTGTTAGTGAGGGGAAGCGAGGCCCCGGAAACGTTAATTGTGTGTGCATGTTCACTGCTTCCGTAGGCGGTTTTTATACGTGTCTCAGCCAGACATGTACGTAACGCATTCCTAATAACAATTTACTTCTACCTAGTTACCTTTTTCGGTAACGAGTAACGTACTTAGTTACTTTTCTTTACAAAGAAAAGGAGTAACGTACTTAGTTTTTTTTTAAGGCCAAGTAACGAGTAACGGTATTTCGTTACTTTTGAGGAGTAACGTGCAGAACACCGTTTAAACAGCCTCATTTTAATTCTAACCTGAGTATGCGTCTATTGCGACAAAGGCGGATGGGCAACCCGAAAAACAACTACACAGCATGAAAATATACCAACGTTTATCGCTGAACACGTCAGTCGAACTCTACAGCTAGGAACGTCCTCCGCCCAGCGAAGACAATAAGATAGGTTGGTTGAATCTTTCTAAAACAGTGTACAGACCGAATGCAAACCCGGAGGTTTCCAACACGGGAATGTACAGATCCTATTGTCAACTTTGAACTTTAGTGTAAGAAAAAGCAAAAGAGAGAGGGTGAACATTTGATTGAATTTGTGAAGGTCTGCCCTACTATGCGTCCCGCAAGAACGTTCAGGAGATGGTGGAACGCATTTGGCGTTTGGTACGCAGCTCAAAATAATCTCATTTATTTTCACCCAAGGTCATTAAATGAGGGTCGACGGTTGATACGTCTACTGCAGATTTTTTCATAGTTCAGGGTTTCTAGCTCAGGCGGTTGTAGTACGTTTACCTCCTCCCTTCGTGGCATAGCACAGGCGTGCCGTGCACCGTTTTGATAAAAAAGATAATGCTGCAAAGTGCCTTTAAACCTTTAGCTTTGTCACAGGCTCTCAGAATTGCTCAGATATATTACAGTGATACTTTGCGTCAATAGTTGCTTTTAGCTTTAAGTATTTCGGAACCAAACTCAATTTCTTGTAGAACCCAGCCGGATATAGTAATTATATTAAGAAATATATCCCTACCGAAACATCCAGCATAAATTTTCGCTATATGGATTATGAACTTGAAATCTATCTGGATTCTATCTGAATTTCAGGTTTTCAGAATTTTTTTGTTTGTCTGTAATCTGGATTTTAAGTTTTCAAAAACAATTCTAGCTAGATTTCCAGTTCCATAATCCAGATAGTGAAAAGTTATATGGGTTTTTGGATAGGGATAGCCACAATAAATGGAATTACAAAAAATAAAAAATAAAAAGCTTCGCAGAATGAGAGTGCAACAATCCTCAGGTCTGACAAAACACATAAACGTGCAATCGCATATAAAAGGTTATCTCAGATTGGAGCTTTGACTCGTTATAAGAAGTACATTCGCAAAATATTTTTTGGGGGTTGAAGTAAAGTAGGCTGCCGATACGAAGCCATTTCTTTTCTGTCTATTAGAAGAATAACACTCGTACGGTATAAGCTGACGGATCAGTGTTTTTTGTGATTTTAATTAACACTGCGCGATAATGATGAGTTACAATACTGAGGTGTTACAATCCCTTTCTGGATTTACCTGTTGCCTCGAGGAGAAAGTGGTGGGGAACGGCGACAACCGAAGCCGACCGTTAAAGGTAGTGTGCATAAATGTGAGTAAGTAACTCGTAGCGAGGGGTGATAAAACAGTTAGTAAAAAAAAAGAGTTACTTCTTGTTTCCTTGTGACATTATTTATAAATTTTACGGAACTGCTTTTACACTAGCAGTTGCGCCTTATGAAATTCTTGTCGATCGCAGAAATGCAACAAACATATTTCGCAACATGTTATATTGCACAACGTGTTAATAAAACATCTCTCTTCGCTTTTATTCTTTTTCTACGAATTATAAAATAGAATAAATTAAGAGAGTTGTTCACTCTCAGAACTTAGAACACTTTTATAAGCTCGTAGGGCTGATACAACGTTCACCTAAGGACTTGCTTCCGGCGCGATTCTCTAGCTACAGACTGGCGATAGAACCGCGTGGGCGGGCTTCCAACGACGCGAGGGAATGTAGCCTAGCTGGATTTAATTTACTTAAAAGGCTGTCGTTTTTGCGAGCAAGCGCAAGAACAAGTTTGGTCACGTCAGAGAGAGAGAGCGCGCCTTGTTACACTATCCGGAGAATCGTAGTGCGCCAGTACAGACGCGAACCATGTAACGACATTTTCTACGCTTAGCTTTCCCACACGTTGGACTTTGTACGGGCGTCCCCCTACATTAGGCTTTCTTTGAAACGTCATTCACAACTTGTGTTTACTCCGAAGGCGACTAGACCAAAGTTTATTTTTTCGTGTCTCTGCGAGAAAAGCAACAATGTCCCTTTGTTTTGTTTGTGGGGTTTTAATTCAACGTAAAATGTATTCAACGTCGCTTTCATTGTGTTGATGCGAGCTCCCACGGGCGGAAAATTGTCCCTTTTTTTCTCCTGTAGTACTTTTATAGCATTGTTGTTGGTGAATGGTCTTCTAAATTTAGAATTCCTCTCCATGCGGTCTTTTCCGCTGCAGCGCAGCCATATTGTTTCGCTCCTGAAACGTGTCACGTAAATAGGGTCCAACAAAAGTTTATTTCGAGCTCCCAGTTACAAGCGCACAATAAGTGAAAAAAGAAAAAAAGAGTTTACGCACCTGAACCACGTTATAGTTTCCCGAGTTTATAGGCTTTGTCTTTTTGTATAGGCCCGATTTCAAGCAACATTTTGAACCGGTTTTGTTCTTTTTTTTTCTTTGTGATCTTTGCAGAGTGTTGGTATTCAAAGCCGTTAAATATCGGAGAGAATGCGAAAGGCGTGAAATTATTTTTATTAGAGGCAAGCTTGCGCGAACGTACTCGAAACTGCGAGCATTCCCCGAACAATGTCCGAGCGTTGACGTTTAAACACAGCGAGCGGAGAAGAAATCACTGATATTTTGAGAAGTACACAAACGAAGCAAATGACGAGGCGTTCAGGGCAACGCGAAGCGCAAGTTGGTCCACTTCTTTTGCAAGGGTTGTGGTGACGTTAGAAAGACGCCGTCAAGTTCTGATTGGCTCTGATTGAAGGATAGTTGGTAGCAAGATAAATTAGGAGGCTAGTTGTCGCAGTCTAGATAGTGGGTAGACCTCAAAGCAAGCTGCCTTGAGGTCTACCAACTATGCTTCAATCGGAGCCGATCGGAGCTCGAGGTAATTCTGACGTCATCTCAACCCCTGCAAAAGGAACTTGCTCTCCGCATAGTTTTACTCGTAAAAATCGTACATCAATCTTTACAAAAGGCCTGCCCAAAAACTACCCTGCAGTGTACACACAAAAAAAAATGATGCAATTCATGATATTTTTGTAAGGCATCCAGGGCATGTGCAGCGTAAACAATTCGGTTTTGGGTTCAAGAATGCAAACTGCGGAGGAGCGATGAGCATATCGCCTCTCGTACCAATGGTATTTTTGCGGATCAGGGTTTCGAGACTTCAATTTTTTTTCTTTTTGCTTTGCCACTTACAAAGGCATGCATGAGGATCGCACTGGCCGGCCCTTTAATACTGTCCATGTGGCTGAGGCGACGCGCGATGGTTTCTTTGTGGCATTCCAGAGCATTTTACTTATATTTTAGTTTTGGGAACCTACATTGAGTCACCATCAAAAAATGTGATGGGCTGAATGCGATTGAACCCAAAGAAACTAAATATAGGCAAACGGTAGCTGCCCTCGTAAAATATTTCTGTACGGCTACTCTTTAAGGGCCATCCATAACTACTGCCTTCTTGTGTCCTCTCAGATTGCTCATTGACTATTAATCTTTTCTTGTTTTATTTTACACGAACATCACTTTATTTAAGAAAGGTTATATATAGAAGCTTAGAGTGAGTTGTTAAGAATTTTAAATATTTTGTTTTGCGTTTTTATGAAAGTTTAGGCCACTTTACGTGCTGGTGCTGCGATCTCGTATTCTTAATATCAAATATGGTGATGTGCGGGTTGTCACATGAAGCGCACTATATATATATACATATATATATATATATATATATATAACGGGCATGGTGGCGGGAGGCCGAAGGCGTGGGTATATAACTGAGAAGAAAAAACCCTTAGTGAAAACAGCAACAACGGACGATTTATTCTTCGACGTTTCGGCCGGAGTCCGGCCTTCGTCAGGGAGGCCGGACTCCGAATTTACTCACTCGAGTAAATTCGGTATATATATATATATATATATATATATATATATATATATATATATATATATCACTTGAGTAAATATATATATATTTACTCTAGTGATAGCCGCACTGTTTATGAAGAAATCCTGAGGGGTTCGCTTTTATATATATATATATATATATATATATATATATATATAAACAAATATGTGCAGATGAATGAACCGTACTTAATCCAATGAATCAAAGAATCAAAGTTTTCAGGAACCCGTCGAAAGCCAAAAATTGGCTTTCGGCGGATTCCTGAAAAAAAAAGAAATATATATATATATATATATATATATATATATATATATATATATATATATATATATATATATATATATATATACCGCATTTACTCGAGTGATAGCCGCACTGTTTATGAAAAAATTCTGAGGGTTCGCTTTTCCGCGGAGCACGCGGATTGCCACAATCACCGCGATCGACAGCATGATTCCAGCGGTTTACAGGAAAGAGATGGTATCTTCGCGCCTTCGCGCGAAGATATTATCTGCGAAAATTGCATTTGTATGGAGAATCGTGTTCTCGATCCAATTATTCGCTATGTTATTTATGTGCAACGCGATGATTTGCTGTATATGTGCTTTGCGGGAAAATGGAAGCAAGGGCCTTGTTCATAAATAGCGCGACGTTTACTCGAGTGAATACGGTAACCCAATAAGACAAAGCAAAGAAATTGTCTCCATCCAGTTCTTAAAATTCCGGTCTCATTGATAAAAAAGAAGAAAAAACGCGATAACTAAATTTGAGCCCTGGGCCTCCAAACTCGTCCAACACAAAGTTGGGGCTGAAGTTGACGGAGCGCGCCGATTGGCCTATCGCGATGATGACTTCGCGCTTTTTTCGCCTTCGACCAATTGGCAATGTCCGCGAACTTTCGGCTCCAGCTTTGTGTTTGACAAGTTTAGGGTTCCAGGCCTTTGTTGGTAGGCCCGCTGGTGTGTTTAAATACCAGGATACCTACGAACTCCATGTTTAGTACGGGATATGATTGAGCTTTGTGTGTATTTTATTATTCAATTCGCTCTAAACACCGACAGATAAAAAATAAAAAAAAAAAACACCGAACGATTTGAGTATTAAGCACCTTATTTCTCTCCGCAGCCAATCAGATCGTTGCGTTAACTGGTAAGAGCGCCGGAGAGCCAATCACGAAGAAATAAGTGTATTAACATAATAAGCCACGCCGTCAGTCTCATTAAGATGTCGCTGACGGCAGCGTAGAGTTCTTCACAACGGTGAAAATGAATTGGCTCTGAAACGACAGGCACCTGCCACGCATCTACACTGTCTCTCCGTCTCCCACCTGCAATTAGGACGCTCGGATTGTCTGCGGGGTACGAGTGGTCTGGAATTCTCTGCACTTTCCAGATCTCTGGCGAGTAGCAGCCAGATCAGTTGCCGGACGTCGAGGTCCCCGTTCCCGTCGTACCAGGTCTCGCAGCTGACTCTGCGCATCGACGGCGCCAACCTGACACTGGCCAATCCCTTCTTTTACACCCAAGACCCGTCTTTGCATCGGATCCAACCGCTCAAGAGCTTTCTCAGGTAAAATAGCTCCTTGGCAACTACAAGCATGTGCTTGACGTCCTAATCTGAAATCGCCGTCAGATACTGCCCCAGGAAAAAAAAACAGAATAGGAAAGAACGCTACCAGAGATTAATTTACAAGTATTTGTATGCGTTTTATTGTTTTATTGAAATCTGAAAAAATGAAGTTTTGAGACGCGAAATATAAGATCTGTCTCAGTAACGCGAAGGCTCTGACAATCATTTCGTATGCATGTTGGTAGGGAGTAGTGGAGCGTTTTCCTAAACGTGTTTTCTGACCCGATATTTGTTTTCATAAGAGGCGTGGAGCTAGAGATTTTAATCGTGAAATTCTGCGCAATTAATATATCTTTTAGTGCCGGGAAGAACCAGAACGTGCAGACCCTCCCCGCAGAGTTGCAGCTAGCAGTGTCATTCTGCTATTCAATTCGAAGAACAATTCGCATATCCCTAATTTTTAGTGTTCAGTGATTGGCCTCTAGGCTACAAAATTTAAGGCCTAACCATGGGAAATTCTGCGGGCTTATTGTCGACTATTTCACAGAAGGGAATCCAACAAGTCGAATGCTAAGATCTATTTCTGAAAGGGCCCGCTATTCCTTGAAGCTTTCAGCAGATCTGGCAAGCATTCGTGCGTGTTATCTTCACATTAATAACACTTCCCAATTTGAGATGGAAAAGATTGACATCAAAGAAATTTTTAACTGCGTTATGGTTCATCACACAGACACTCTACAGTGCGGGCACCGTATGTGCTTCGAGAAACTAGTTTTCTACGTACTTTTGTGTTTTCTTAAATTTCGTCATCATTTTATATGTTGACGTAAATCAATGTAAAATTTCGTGAATTAAAAAAAAAACAAAAACAAAGCGTAGATAAACAAATCGAGGTATTTTCTTCCTCGCAGCGGGGGCAGACATATTCATATTTACGGAACCAACCTGACGTCAATCCAACAGCCACGAATGGCGGTCTTCAACAGTCTTCGGCAGATCAACGAAACCGTAAGTCACTTTCAGTGCCTCGTGTCGACGTATGCGCAAAACCATTTTGGTGCTCGATCAGAAAAATAAAAAAAGGTTTATTTGAAGGGTTAATAAGGTTTAAAGCAAGAACGCACATATACATTTAGTGACAAGGGCTTTGTTGCCACAGTTATATGCTCTTTATTCCTTTTTCTTTCCCTAACTTTAATGCAATAAATTCAATAATCACCTTCTCCGCTCTTCGTTCACAATATATATATATTTTATGGCGGCTGTATTTTGTTGTTGATTATAGTTCCTTATAATCCGCATTAGTCCACACTGCGGGTGGGGTCACTGCGCTTTCGCAGAAAGCAGAATCTGGTGGGACATGAAGCGTCTGCGCATGCGCAGTGCCGACTGCGGCGCCACCGTGCGTCTCATTGTTGCGCCACAGCAACTGACGTCGAAATCAGGCGATAAAGAGCGCCGAAGGTCGAATTACAAGCCGAGAAGCGCGAAGATTCATAACCCACATTTTTCGCTTCTTACGCCGCTTGATGACTATAATTTGTGTTTCGTTGATTACCGTTTAATTAGAGCTTTCTTTCCTTCTTAACTTTCGACGGAAGGCTACAAAGTGTGACGATGTAAGCAAACTGTCAGCCTCTGTCAGGGGCTGAAAAGAATGTAGAAATCTTACTCGGAATAAGAAGAAAATAGTTACGATAAATTCCTCGATTCCTTGTGCCTTTACACCAAATGATTTTGGAGGAATAAAATCTAGGAAAGCCGCTCTCGTTTAACGCTTAAGTGCCCACAAAAGCAAAGTAACAGTGGAGCAGTACTTACGAGAAATCGCAAAGAGGACCCATCAAAGAGAACCCATAGAAGCCGACGTTCATTAAACTATACATTCATTTCATTTTCAACTTGAAATCAACAAAAAAACTAGAATGTTACATATTTTATTTTATTTATTGTATACTTTTTCACGAAACTTTTTTTTTCAGGCAGTGGTTACCTTAGTTACCATCCAGTTAAGAATTCGAAGATGGTTGAATCCTGGCTCGATAAATCCTGCTTCTTGATTATTAATTTTACTTTGCCCTGGCGGAGCATTCCGCAACTTCAGAAATTGCGACCCGCCAGATTTTTTTTTATCTGCATTATCGCTAGCTACTGAAGTCACTAGCCAATAATGAACGAGTAAATTAAATCGAGATGAAAGAATTCAAAGAAATAAAATTCTGCGCAAAAAAAAACTATGTCGTCCGAAAACCTCATGCCGTCAAGGAGGGCAAGATAATTCAAATAAAGTGATTTATCTCACGTAAACCCGGTTGTTATTTGTATTAAGATTTGCGCAACAAAAACTAAATAAAAATGAAAAAAAAAATTGTCTTCAATGTTTAACGAGTAGTTGCAAGTATCCCCAGGAAACGCGCCGTACAAAATTGCGTTTAGCAAGAAAGAAAAATTAAAAAAGAAAAAAAAAACCTATCGGTGAAAGGAAGTAACGCCATCTTTGTTTCTTTCCAGTCCTGCCACGTGCTGAACTCGTCGGTGATGGTCTGCCCGTCCCCTGCCGTCGTGATTCGCACTTCCGGATCCGGAAACTACGACGCAGACGACGAAGCAGACGTGATGCCCCAAGCCATCGCCAGGGGCCAGTACCAGCGTAACGCGTTCGAAGAGGAACTGGATGCTGTGAGGCTTCGAATCGGCTTCATCATGGACGACGTTCTGAGCGTCCAGGAGCTGTCAAAGTTTTACCCAGACATCGACTCGGACTTGACATACGTGTCCGACCCACGGTTTTTCCCGTTCGACAACGACGGTGTCAAGCTTTACAAAGGGGAATCTCTTGTGATTGAGGTACGGATGAAATGCGAAATGTTTCGATTTTTGTTAGCTTTACTTGTGTAACATTTTCCTTTGAAGGCGGAATGATACACAATTAGCCGGAACTGTAAAATTATTGTATCTGTTTATGCTAAAAGTCTAAATTTGACATTTAGAGTTATGTATTTTAGCGTAAATGAGCGCTTTCACCAATGGACGTGGAAAAGCGGAAAAAAACATACTGTTTTCACGAGAAGAGGTCGTCTTGTCCAGAGATACAAACTAGAAACATTTAGTTTGGTTTTATTATGTGATCTCTGGTGTATAAATCGCTTCCGCCATAGAAATTCGGATATGCATGCTAATCATATTCAAGAAAATCAACTAGCGCTCAAAACTGATTCTTAGACCGAGGCCGTAACAGGGCACTGATACTGCGATATAGTCAGGTCTGGTTACTACGGACACCTGCGTTCCTCAAAGAAGTCGTTTATAATTTGACTTTCCTATAATAACGAGGCGAAAATTGATGCGTTTACCCGGTCTGTTCTCAATATGCTCGTTAATATAACGGGATATTCTTATTAACATAGCTAATATTAAAAAGTCATAGTGTATTGCTACAAACATTGTGGTCACAAAGTAGCAGTGTTGGCTCTACCTGGCTTTTTTGTTTTCTTTTGATGAGTCGTGTAATCAGGAAGAAAACCTTCTGTTGTATTATCAGGGAGAAAGCCTTCGACTGGCCAGCACGGAGTTTGAGGTGAACGTGACAATAGGAACTCGGCCCTGCAACCTTACCTCCCTCACTATGAGCCAGCTTGTTTGCACGCCGCCCGAAGTCCAGCCTCCTGGAACAGACGAAATCGGACACAGAACGGAGAGCGATCTTCCTGTGGTTGTGGTGAGAATGACTTGCATCTTCCCTCCGTCCAAAGTAAAAGTTGAGGGTTTTACGTGCCAAACCAACGAAAGCCGTCTGGCACGCCCATGCGGAGGACTAATCTTAAATTTGGACCACCTGGATTTTTTTTTTTCACGTGCAATCGAAAGTGCGGGTACGCGGCGTCTTCTCCGCAATAAGCCTCGGTCCGATTTTTGGGCACCTAGGCCGGGATTCGAACCCGCCACTTAATGATCCTAGGGTCGGCGCCTTGCCTCGTCTGTTATTGTACACAGAAACCTATCGGGTTTTGTGTATAGGTCCATGTTATATGAGGAAAGATTATACGGATGTTTAAATATAGGAGTAGCGACGCATATAGGTTTTGTTTCTGAGCGAAGCGCTTGTTACCTGCATTTATTACTTTTTATATTGTCAAAGGGGCATAGATATAACTCAAAGAGGTTAAGATTGTTTTGTATGTTCCCACAATATAAAAAAAAAAAAAATCAGCGACGTTTTTTTTTTTAGTTTCACAGCGGAGCTGTTAAGGGCTAGTTTCCCCGGGATCGTGTCCGGTACCAAACAAATGTCGACACAAACTCTGGTTGCCGCCGTCACTCATAGATGGCGCTAACTGTCCAGAGTGTTGTGCTTGCCGTTTGTCTGCTTGCCGCCGTCGCTCATAGATCGTGGCAACTTTTCCAGCCTCGGCAACCAGACAACTGGTGGCTGCCGCCACTCATAGATGGTGGCGACCTTTTTTCGGAGGAAGAAGAGCGGGAACGGAACGACCGGCAATGTGCGCAGCAGCGCGAATGGTTCCGTAACCGCCGCAAGGCCGCTATCGCCTAGAGGCCACTGCGTCGAGCGCTTCAGATTCTCTTGCGAAAAAAGAACAGATCGCTCGCCTGGAGAGCCACCGCCGAGAACAGAAGCTACAGCTCCGCTGCTCTTTCTTCATGAGAATAAAAAACCTGAAAGTTTTTTTTATTACATCTTAAGGATATATACTATTCACTCAGCCCTAAAAAGCGTATTAAAAGAGTAAATATTCAACAATCTAATTTTTTACGTGCCAAACTAATCACACATTTTCCACTCACATAAAAAAAAACCCCGTAAAGACCTACCAACCCCGGCGGCCAGGCGGAGATCCGCTACTCTTCCCAATACAATGAACCTGTGGTATGCTAACTCCTCCGTAGATTTCTTTAAGCTTATGATTTGGAATAGGGTTCTGATTTCGCAGCACTTTATTTGTTAATCTTAGTGCTTTAGGGTTGGAGAATTATCTTGGTCTCCCCGCTTTTGTCGAGCTCATAACGTAAAAGGCGCTCGCTGTTTCAAAGCTACAGGAGGCTAGATCATGCTAAATCAAAACTTTTTTTAATAAAGTTTGTAGCTCTTAGATGTGGAATTGTAAATTGATGTGTGTATGCTTATACAATCTAAACTTAGTATGAATCAACGGGCGACTTGTGTCAGTTGTAGATGAGAACTTTAGCCAGTGTGATACAACGGCTAGCCTGGAGTTGCTAACCTGCACCACGAAGTAGCGATACACGATTGCGCACCGGTACGATAATAGTCCAGATCAAAATGTGAAGAGGTGTGGATCAAAACCAGGATCCCTGGGTTTTTTGTTGAAAGTGGAAGTACTAATACAGCGTTTTATACTCCTTTCAGGTACGGGTAGGCAATAACCTCCGTTATGAAGTTGGCTACCTCCGGTATGAAGTCGCCAAAATGTACGAATTTCCCCCTGAAGCAATTGGAGCTATAGCCGCGGGAGGAACAGTCCTTATGCTTTTAAGTCTGGTCATTTTGGCCATACTGAGACACAAGAACTCACAAGCCGAGAGGGAATACAAGCGCATTCAACTTCAAATGGACACCCTTGAAAATAGCGTGAGGTCGGAGTGCAAGCAAGGTACGTGGAAGTTTGCCGCCTCGCTTTCAATCATTAACAATCATTCTGTACAGTAAAGTCTAGTTTAGAGGTGTAATTGGTTTCATCTGTTTCAATTCTACAGCGTTCGCTGAACTTCAGACTGATATGACGGACCTGAATAACGATATACAGTCTACGGGGATACCGACGCTGGATCACAAGGCATATTTGATGAAAGTGTTTTTCCCTGGTGTACCAAACAGCCCCATTCTACAAGAGGTGAAGGTAAATACACCAAAATTTTTCTAGATGCTCAAACAAGGCACATCCTAAACCTATACTTTCTGAATGCACTATTGAGTAATTGCAATTGTGGGAACAGTAACTTTTCTGCTGCTGTACAAGGCCTACTCATGAAGATCACTAGAGTTTTTATGTAGACTTAAACATAAAAAAGAAAACAACTGCAAGAGCTTCCAAAATCAGCTTAAAAAATTGTTGTCAGTAAAAAATGTTAGCATCCTATCTTTAGTAGCAAATTATCAATACTATATAATTAGCTGACGATGATGCACGGTCAGCTTTATGGCGTTTTTTTTTTATTTCAATACGTAGAATGCTTCATGTTTTCGAAAGGTGCACATACAAGTGTTTGTACACAGCCGCGGTTGAGACTTTTCCTGAACTTGACTTCCCTAGATTGCGTGCTTCCTAAAGTTGGCATTAACGGTGTAAGTTCTTTGTACTTTTTCTGTTAACTCGGATGAGACTTTCGTGTCCGGTCGTTCTTCGTTTCCACGAGTCCAGGGGTTTTAGTCAATTATATTCAACCATCGCCAGCTCGTTTGCGCCCTAACTTTTCTGTTCATTGACGATGCTATTGTTTGGCAGCAAATAAATGGTCCCTACAACAACTACGAGGTGGCTATGACAAATTTCGAGATGCTCATCAACAACAAACGTTTCCTGCTCACATTCATTGACACCCTGGAAAACCAAAATACTTTCAGCATCCGGGACAAGTAAGTATTGCAGCTTGTTAAAATATAGGACACGGCATTTTATTAGGCGGTGACAAACTAATATATTTGTATTTCTATCAGGGTCAACGTCGCCTCGCTTCTCATGATTATCCTGTTGGACAAGATGGAATACGCGACTGAGTGAGTAAAACCTCAAGTCTATAACTTCATATGTTGTGTCCAGAACAACCGAAGGAGACGAATCAGGACAGAAAATGATATCCCATGTTTTCATAGGATTCTTAAGGAACTGCTCTTGAGACTTGTGGACAAATACGTCGGAACAAAGCATCCCCAACTGATGCTAAGAAGGTGGGTCGTCTGTCTTCTATTTAAAACTGGCATTGAACATTTAGGTATTTGAGACGTTAATGAAAAAAGAGAATGAAATTTGTATTTAGAGAAAGAAAAGTCTTCTTATCCGCAGTATTTAGGAAGGTGTAAAATAAGTCCATGGTGAAGAAATAAAAAAAAAAAAAAAATACAGGATGCTGGTGCATGGCTAGCAAAATGATGAATTTGCTTTGGAAAAAAAAAAAGAAAATAAACACGAACATGCTGTTTATTTGCTTGTTAATTTTTTACTTCGGCTTGACGCATGTTAAATGGGTCATGAATTTTATTAAAAAAAAGAACGAAAACGTTACCGGGAAGTTTTTCACCTGATTTTTACAGAACACTAATTTTATTTATTGTTTGTAAAGAATGGAGAATGGTTTATGATGTAATGATCAAGTAAAAATACACAACAATCCTAACTAAAAAGTTTTTTTTCTTAGAACCGAGTCTGTGGTTGAGAAAATGCTAACAAACTGGATGGCGCTGTGCATGTATGGATACATAAAGGTATGTTGAAGTTTGATGTACATTTATAAATTTCTCACGATGATATACTTGTGTGTGATGCATGGCGTCTAAATTAGCACAGAAGCTTGCAGCGCGTCACAATAACTTAGTGCAAGCTGTGCCATAACGAATAAATTAATCTTGGTCAATGTTTTTTTTTTTTTTTTTTTTGCCACTGCTATTTTGGTGTGCATTCAGTAAACATTTTGTTGTGTCGTTGATAGACGTTTTTGTATTCATATACTTTCTGCCCTATGGTTCAATTATTGTTGACCTATGTACCAGAAGAATGGCTAAATTGATAGCACTGAAGAAAATGTTTCTGGCAATATTTTTTGTGCTAAATCTAGTCTAAATATTTCTTTGGTTTTATTCTTTCAGGAGCACGCTGGAAGGTCACTGTTTCTGCTGTTCAGTGCCATTAAACATCAAGTTGAGAAAGGGCCGGTAGATGCTGTAACTCACGACGCACGCTATTCTCTTTCGGAAGAACGCCTCCTCAGGGAACAGATCGAATACTCGACAATTGTAAGTGAATTCTTTAAATTTGCCCTCGCTACACACACACAAAAAAAAAAACTTTTGTATTGGAATCTTTTTTTTTGGTGGGAATAATAACGCTCAAAAGTTTTTAAACTTTCATACATGTCTTGCTTTCAATTTCATAGTACTTTATTATCCTCGGTATATAACGTCGAACCATCCTTTTGAACTAGAATTTTTTTATAGTATATGAAAGCATGCGTATAACACTGAAAATTTCCTCTGAGCCTTAAGGAAGCCATGCGACGGGCAATAATTGTCACAAAACAGGTTTAGAGGGAAACCTCGTCTGTGCGAAACCGTACCAGGTATATCGCATCGTGAAGCATCTGCGGGACATACGCGCTGTTTTAGAAAACCGTGGCGCCAAAGCCAGTGTAGTAATTACCAAAACTGGAATGCTTCACATTTCGCAACATTGGCCATCTCTAACGTTTTTCTTGCCTCACAAACTACGAGAACTCATCCGGAACTTTATTTGGTTCTAATAAATATTAATTTCCGTAATAGATGTGTGTGTTATAAACTTATTTGACTGTAATAATTCAATTTGGTCATTACTCTGACCAGGTTCAAAGATATATCCAATCCTATACTTGTTTTAATTGATATAAAATAATATGTTATCAACTGCGTGCATGAGATTTTCATCAGAGTGGAAACGGAGTTTCATAATAATGTTGTTGACGACGGCACTAGAATAATATGGCGGATAGACATGGGGAACCTGGAACCAGGTGCTGTCGGAATGCTTCGATGCTATTGGATTGGTAATAGTTTTCAATTTAAACATAATTAAGTGCACGAGTAAATAGCGGGGTAGATTTTTGGCCATTTCTATTGCCATCTTTATTGCCGCGATTCTGACATTCTACTTAGTTCACGGAAACTTCATCGATTATTGAGTAAGCAAATTTGGCAGAACTTATCCTAATAATACTAGCGTTATAAATGGTTTAGACTAGTGTCACCTTTATAGACTTGAATAACCTTAAAACTTTGATGTTGTCATAATGTATCTCTTTTTCTCACATTAGGTTGTCCAAGTCATTCAGGAAGAGCAAGATGAAAAGATATTCTGTAGAGTGAACGACTGCGACACAATCAGTCAGGTGAAGGCGAAAATTTTGGATTCTTTGTACAAGAACACGCCGTGCTCGATGAGGCCCTTGATATCTGAAGTTGATTTGGGTGAGTAAAAGAAAAGAAAGTGAGACAACTAGAAAGAATAGAAGGGAAATGTACATGATTACGTGCCTTCCTCTCGTTTTTGAAGTAGAATGGCGACACGGAAGGGGAGGACACCTGATTCTCCAAGACGAAGACCTTACCACGAAGCTGTCCCATGGTTGCCAGAAGATCAACACGCTCGCTCATTATGGAATTCATGATTCGGCCGTCATGAGCCTCGTGAGCAAAAAGCGGCGATACGGCACCAACGGTTGGTTTCCCTCACTCATAATAAAAATGTCTCTGAGGTAATGTTTCTTGCAGAACTGAAATACAGCTAATTTTAGCGGACAATAAAAGTATCACAGCGAATGACGAAGCCCAGAGCACGATAAGACATAAAAAATACAATTTGCAATGGGCGGTGAGCGTAAAAGTTCACCTTTGTTAATTTTATCGGCGCACATCTCACAATAGACCCTTTCCGAAATTCAGTCTGGCCACTTCAATAGCTATCATCATTGTCATCTTGACGGTGCTCAATAGTGCGGCTGGCCACATTGTACGAGGGAGACGCCGCCAACGCCGCCATGAGCATGTACGGCATCGCGAGTACGAGCATTGCTGCTGCTGGCAGTCTAACAGTCTCGTGGACCACATGTTTGTCGCCCATTTCAGACTTTCAGCCCGGTCGAGGACTGCGCCTGTGGCAGCATTAACGCAGTCGTCGATGTTACAATCGTTCACTGCGCTGTATTCAGTTGCGACTGCGTGGCACATGAAGTCAGCGGTGAAGTCTTCCATAGCGTTGACAGTGACGATTTCGCCGCTTGCATTCTTCTGGCTCGACGCCCCAGGTGCTGCGTGTCCACCGGTTAGAATGGCGAATGCGTAGATTGCCTCTTCACTAACGGGTTCGCTCACCGCGTCTTGAATGCTCGGATCGGCGATTGCGTCATTCGTCACTCCGGCATCAGCGGCGGAAAACTTCGTCGTTGACGGCGGCGCCTGTCGTACTCGTGGTTTCTTTCTGGGCGGCCTTTTCGCGACGTTGAAAGCGAAGATGCTCGGCACTGCTTCCTGTCTGAGGTAGCGACGTTTACTAGCGACGTTCGGAATGTAGTCACCCTCTCGAAAGTGTCCTGAGCAAATCTTAGTGTACTTCGTAATGGAGAAGTGCTTGCCTTCGACACGTTTTATCGCAACAATCCATTTTTTTCGGAGAGCGGGGTCGGATGGGATGGCGAACAAAGATACCTCTAAAGAAAAAAGTATACGAATTCGCGAGAGGTCACACGAAATGCCCGAATGTTAACGTTATCTCAATACCCCAAGCCCAGCAACATCGCTTCTGTTTACAAAAAGAAAAAGGTGCAGGTGCATGCTCCCTTCCGTTAGCGCTTGAGAAGCAGCACGAGACGGCTTATATCATTCTATGCTACTAATCTGGCGGGATCTCTTCCGTTTCGATCGTCGCAGCGGTCGCGTGCGTGCACCGCCCAACCGCGAGCCAGAGGCATCCTTGAGTCCTTTTCGCTTACACAGCGGCACACAGCAATGAAAAGGCATCGCAGAAGCAGCGTGTGGCGAAGTATCAGCCGCGCAACACCTTTTGTGGCCGCAGTGGTGTCGGTGGTGTAGCGCACGTTGAGCAAGCGCCGATGCGACCGTACATGCTTATGGCGGACGCACGCCGCGCCACGCCCACCCGCGAAGCTTCGCAACCGTTCCGGTAAATGGCGCTGAATTTGTAAAAGGGTCTATTCAGGCCTAATTGTATCCTGGGCTACGTCCCTTCGCTGGGATCCTTCGATTGTTCGCCCTGATTAGCTATCTCCGTGCTCTGCAGTAAAGTAAATTCGCAGGCATTTTCTTTTAGAATTTAGTTCTCATTTTTTCATCTGAGCAAAATCGGTCATGAACGGGTTGATACTTTACTGATTATGCCCTCATAAACTATGTGAATGGAAATGTTTGGGCACGGGATTACAAAAGTTAATGTTTATGTTTACTCTGCATTAATGGCATAAATTTAAGCACATGGAATGTTTATTTATATAGTTTGATTAAAACGTATTTCAATTTCAGCACCTTGACCTCGGGTCATTTGTGTGTGCGTATGGAGGGGGGGGGGGGAGGGAGTGGGAGGGGGGCTTAGCATAGTTTTCGGTGACAAAATTTGTTTTTTCTCTGTGAATTTAGTGCTTTGGGAAGTCCGAAAAAGCCAAGGTAGTGCCACACTTGACATTATTTAGCCCGAGTCTTGATATCTTGGCCCTAATTCGCCAAAAAAGTGGCAAGTTTAAACTTTACTGCTCGTAGGTTGTCTCTCTTCTGGCATCTTCCAGCATGAATTGCCAATTTGGCAATTGCAACTTGCCAAACAAGTGCCTCAGTTTAATCTTCACTGCTGGTTTTTCGGTTCATTTGTGGCAAACTTGGCTCAAGTCTGCACTTTGGGAAATTATGTCATAAGCCAGAGAAAAGCTATATAAACGCCAGTGAAAAGTACTTTGGTACTAACTAACGCCTTTTGAGCATAAACCGTATTAAGCCGAAGTTAAGACCCTAGGATATTCAAGCTTGCGCCAAGTTGAGCGCTTTTCTTCTGGCATGCTACATGCCAATATGCTGTGCGCCCTTTGTTCTGCCATTGATCCCAAACTCACTCCCCTAAAGGCTGACGACAGTTTGATTGTGTTCCACCTAGGCACCACTCAACACGGGCCTATCAGCCCTTTCTCGGCGAGCAACAACAATTACGAGAGTCATTACGGCACAGCAGTCAAATATTGGCATCTCGTCAAGCCGCTGGACGACCGTCAGGAATGTCAACAGGAGCAGAGGCACAAGGCTATTCCCGAGATTTTCTTGACGAGGCTGCTCTCGACAAAGGTGAGGGATACACATTTTCTGCCTGCTCAGTATTGTGGCTTGAGCTCGCTTGGAGGGGGGAGAAAGGGGTGTGGGAGGCGCGTCAATCCAAGCAAAAATTTTCCCGAAATACAGCAGTGTTGCTTTTGGTACTTTACACGAATTATTTGTTGTGTTTATTTTACAAACCGTAAGTTTCCGACTATAGACTACGGACCATCCATGTCTAAAAGTTGAAAGTTTATGCAGTGCGGACTATCTACATCTGCAATTCTCTATCGTTCATTATGACGAGACGTGAGGAAATCTGTGGATCACAAAGTATACTAATGATGATTTCTAGCTTCAGTGAGCAAATAATGGAGGGACCTGTAAAGGTTTAATGTGCATGACAATGTCTTACTTGCGCACTCTGTACCGGGTGTAGACTAAGGATTGGAAAATAGGGGACAAGGTTTTTTTTTTCTAGAAACGGTCATTTTTATCAGTCCTGAAAGCATCTTTAGGTATGTAGCATATAATAAAATTAATAGGGCACTACACCCTTTTTCTTATGGTTACTGGTCTGCTTTAAAAAGCAGCAAAGCGATTAGTTCCGAACCAGGCCCGTAGTCCCCACCTTTCCGTTAAGCGGTTAGTTCGTCACATGATGTTTTCTTACAGATTGATTATTGCTGAAATTGACTCTCCTTTTCTGCTTATTAAGATTTTACCCAGAGTTTCTCAACGTCAAACAAGGTTTAGTGCACTTCTTTAACCCTTTAACGCGCATTGTACAAGGTTAAAAAATTAGCCGCGACTTTTAACTTCAAAGTCCTATAATGCATAATACGCTGTCAAACCTTCTGGGAGCAACATACCCTAGGGTTATCTACGCGTAGGGGTGTTGCTAGGAGGAGGAAAGTGTGGAGAGACAAAAGGAGAGGGACGAGATGGTTGGGGTGAGGGAATCGGTGTTCAACTTGATGGACAGTTTCCCGATAGAAAAACTGAATGGTTTTATAGGTCACGTAAAGTCAGGTCACATGAAATTGACTTCCCAGGCTATATTTGGCGGGGAAACTGGATTGGTGTCTATGTCGCACGACGCAAATTTCCCCCTACTTTGGCGGGTAACTGTATCGGTGTATACGTCAGGTGACGTCAATTTCCCGCTATATTTAGGGGGAAACTGAATTGATGTTTTGGCCAAAAGACGTCAAATTTCCCGCTAAATTTAGCGGGGAAACTGTATTGACTTGTAAGTCACGTGCCGGCAATTTACCCAAGGTGTATAATCATGTGACGCCACTCCCTCGCTAAATTTAGCGGAAAATGCACGGACGGACGGACGGACAGACGGACAAAATTCTGGGTTAGGGGGTAACGTTAAAAAGCATTCCATGCTTTAAAATATCTTACTCATGTCTGCAAACTAGGATGTGACAATATTTTTTTATTAGTGTACCTTTTTATGAGTGTACCTCTATTTAGACTTAACAGCGTTTTGGCAGCACGCATTTAACCATGATCGATCGATTGATAGCTAACACAACGTTAGGTATAGCTGAAATAGTAACCTCAATATTATTAAAAATCACTTCTTTAGCAATCGTATTGTATTTTATGTCTTGTTTCTCGGCGTTATTTTTTCACTCGAAGTCTCAACTGGTAACACCAGAAAAGGAACGCCGGTGGCAGGCACAAGTTCAATGTTTGACCAGTAGTTCAGTGCTGGAGCATTTTCCCTTTTATGCCATGTTCGTTTGAAGCAGCTGGAAATGTAGTCCACTTGCCAACGCATCTTTGTATTCATTTTAGGGCACAATACAGAAGTTCGTTGATGACTTCCTGCACACCATCTTGACAGTCAACGACAGATTACCGTGTGCGGTGAAGTGGCTGTTCGATTTACTTGATGTCACCGCAGCGAGGTATGGCATTATGGATGCGGAAGTGTCCCACGCTTGGAAGAGCAACAGGTAAGATTCTTACTTTCGTATCGGTAGTAGCGTACAGTATTTACATGCTGAAAAACTTCTAACAGGTAATTATGTAAAGGTTTAAGGGTGTGATCAAAATCACCATAGGCGTCAAACAATATATATGATGCTAACGATTACTGTTGTTCACATATTTAGTAAGCGTGTCGCATTAGGAGGTATAAACAAAACAACTGCGTAAAATCTGTTTCTTAAGGTCAGTTGTGGAGGAGACTTGCTTTAAAAGATACTGTGACATACGTACTAACAATGTTTTATCGTCGTTTTGTTTCAGCTTGCCCTTGCGGTTTTGGGTTAACCTAGTGAAAAATCCAGATTTTATATTCGACGTGGATAAGACGCCGATCCTAGACGCTTGCCTCTCAGTGATTGCGCAGACATTCATGGATGCTTGTTCGACGACAGAGCACAGACTCGGCAAGGTAAAGGTTTCAATGATTATGGTTAATCAAATTTTGACATACTACGTTCGGTTTGGTCGTGCTGGTGAACTTTACTAGCATTCACTACTGAGGATTATGTAAGGAAGTTGACATTCGGAAATATTTTATGCGTACTGATGTTTTTCAGGATTCGCCTTCAAACAAATTGTTATTCGCAAGGGACATTCCGAGTTACCGAAGAATGGTCTGCAAGTTTTATCAGGACATCTCCAATCTTGCTCCAGTGACCGACCAAGAGATGAGCGCTGCTATGCAGTCGCTATCATCTGTAAGCTGAATATAGTTTTAAATATTCAAGCTCACTATCTTCAGATGGAAATCTTGACCTACTATAATTCTTTGTTTACAGGCGCACGCTGGGGAGGTGGATGTCCTGAATGCCTTGAAAGAGTTGTATATTTATGTTACAAAATATTCGGAGCAGGTAAGCTTACCCAATCCCCTATCAGTTTCTTTGCTCTTCCGAACAGTAAAACAAGCAAATATTAATTTTATGTGCTTTCATTGCAATTAAATTGTAAGGTATAATTTATTCAATTGTTTTTGCTCGTCTATACTCGAAAAGGTTTGTTGGCATCACTGTCTTTATTCAAAAGCTCCGAGGTCTAAAACATACACATGAAATAGCTAGGTACTGGTTGGGATTCCGGACATAAGAAATAAAATATATTTTGTTCTAAAATGTAACCAGAGGAAATGAACACAACAATGCATGTCTTCATTTTATTGCCTCCAATTTTGCACCAAAAAAAGATGAAAACTCACGTCTGCTTTCCTCCTCCACTCAACCTAACTTGGCCACCAACATGTCAAATCACGTGGCCGTGACGTAAAATATGTATTTCTACCGGTAACGTAAGTTCTCCCAGCCGAGCGAGGGAACCGCGTCAGTGAAGCGTCGCGTTGCATGGAAATAACATTTCTGCGTCGACGCTTCGGCGCAGGGACGTCGAAACGACGTCACCTACGGAGGTTTCCATGAACGCCGATTGCTTCGTAGGACCTGTCTTTCCGCGACGCTTGTGCGATGACCGCCATGGCTATGGATACACCGCCGACGAGTGAAGTGCAGCTTAAACGTTTTTTTGTATAGTGAAAGTATGGGCCTTGATCTGTACGCCGGGACGCCCATACAGCAAAACGAGAACTTGACCGACAATGGTTTGAGCAGTTCGGCGCCGGAACCGGCCGCGGAGTAGTGGCGAATTTTCAGTACGTAATGGTAGGTTCACATATCGGCTGCGAATACAAAACGCTAGAAACGAAGTAATATGAATTCCTAATGCTATTTATCGTGGAGAAACCTCTCGAGTTCTCGCACTTACTGCGACTGATGCAATCGGATATTGAACTCGGTCATTTCCGTCGGAGGTATTCATGGACAATTTCGTCGTTTGCGAACACAGTTCGAGTGACACACTACTCGTATCGAAATCGTTGAAATTAAGTTCGACTGACGTGCTCGGAAAAAAGGAAAACAAGATTCCGGCACTGCGGATGTTGCGGTTACTTTACTAGGTGGCGCAAGCTACCACCCGTTACAAAACGTGTCTCCACAACTCATTCATTAATCCACCCATTCATACATTCAGCTTGGTTGCGAGTGTTCGAGGGAGAGAGTGTAAGATATAGTCTGCTTTTATTTGCCAAAATTTCGTGCCAAAAAATGAGGCCTTCGCCTTCCTAATCTAGCGTGCTAGTTCTTTTCTTCGCCCCATAAACAATATCCAGTCAATAAATTTGTCTAAAATCATTTCAGGGTTCCTTTAAGATTGTTCATATTTACTCTATAGCTAAATCGTTTGTTTCCTGAAAGATGAAACCTGGTCAGAGTGCGAACACACGTAAAGAAATAAAGAAATTCGCGTGATTTTATTATTTTTTACTACTAAGCCTGGCAGGTTGTATTGTTCCTGGTGTGTCTAAAAAAAATATACTGAAACAATTGTTGCAGATGTGTACTTTTGTCCACGTTCATACACGTTGCCTTCCATTCTTGCTGTGAAGGTGATCGAAGCTCTTGAGGACGACGAGGAGTGCCAAGAGCTTCAGCTTGCTCAGCGGTTGGAAACTGTGGCTTGTACACTCAGTGCCGAGAGGACTTTGCCTTGCTGAGCTTGAAGTACTTCAGCGACGGCTGTGTTAGCATCAAGCACCTCTGAATAACTGCGCAGAAGAACCTCCTCGCAAGGAAACCACAAAAAACAAAAAAAGCGATCCGCGAACACTTTGGACTTCTCAAATTCCAACTCTGGAGCCTATGTGAGGACGGTGCCCAATGTGATCTGTCTCAAGTGTACATACACAAGGTACTCTACGGCCATGCTGGCTCAAGTGACGACGATTGTGTCTACTCTTTGTTTTTGTACCGATGCAGTGCGTTGTGTGCGTGTGTTTGTGTATATGTACCCGGAAAAAAAAACACACCTGTGCCTCAGTGTGCCCTCCTCAGCTTGGCGGCGATGACTGAGACGCGCGGAAGAGTCGTGTTCCCGGAATACGTGAAAAGCTAGAAAAAGGGAAGTAATTTATTTTGTACAAGCTGTAACGGAGCAGATGGCCAACCTGGCAGGGTCGCGGGCGTTTTGTTAATAGGCCTCTCTGTACACGCGGGTGCGATTTCAGGGTCATCGTGAGAGAGACCATTGTGCAACGTGGTCTCGGGGAGTCCAACAAGGTCTGAACTGATGTTCCCCGTGATAGCCGATTTGAGCCGCATGAATCAGGGCGTAACTTGTACGAGACGCAGATGCATGAGTATAGGTGCTGTAAGATACTGCAAGGGTATAAAAATGTTCGAAGCTAAGCGAGGCGCGAGGGAGGACTGTACAAAATAAAAAAATAGCTAGTCATTGCATCAAACCTTCTTGTGTTCTCATTGCACGGCATTACAAAGGTGGAATCTCACCACAAATTTTATAGTTTTTCCTTGCTTTTTTGGGCAAATAATCAGTTATTTACCAATGTAACTGTATTCACAATTCCTCAAGGAATTGCAACGATTTTACATGGTGATGCTTTGTATTGCAGCTAGATCATTTATTAGGTCAAAATATGTAGAGGCAAAGTGTCTACACTCACCCCCCCCCCCCGCCCCTTTCCAAACAACAACAACAACAACAACAACTAAGTTTGGTCCTTCAAACATGATGCTATCTACAATACTGTTTTATTAAATTGACGATTTCGAGAAATATTAAGGGTTCGGCCCTAAAATAACGCTTTAAGTCCTGTGACATAATGCACACTCTTTTAAGCATAAGGTCCTGCGTCTCACTTTGTACAATGTGCAACCTTAACGTACTCGCGCGAATGCTAAAGAACAAGGGGCAGCTAATGTTACGCTGCCTTAAACAGGGTCTTCAATGTTTGTGCATACGCTATGCATCCGTATCGGTCTGCTGCCTTGCTTAAAAACGTCTCACCGTACGTGGTGGCTCTGCGGAAGGTGCAGTGAACATGTCGTGTATTAATATGCTCCGGTACTTAATAGGTTTATGTAGAGAAAATAAAAAGAAAGTGCTTTGTAGTTCCATGTTTAACTATTCCATTAGTGGTATAGTTGGTGAAAATAGGTTCAGTTTGAAAACTATTTTTTATACAGAAGGAACTGAAGTGCATTTTTTGCATTATTTTGTGGATTCTGGTGTGAATAAAAGTGCTGGAGAATGAAGATCATGTATGAAACTCATTGAAGCATCGTAATTAACTGCAAATTTTAGCATGCTTACGTAATTTGGTTGTACAAAAGAAATCCAACTTAGTAAAACTAAGTAATAGTCTTATGGGTCATTTTTAGTATTACCTTGCTGGACGTTCCACTACACGAGGAGATGTACAAAGAAAATCTGAATGCGACGTGTCGTATATTTTTTAGCGTTATTATCACAATATGTTTCAGTTTAGTCATGACGTATAATGAATCCAGTCATGATATGCCAACTAACCGGCGGTTCAAATTGGTTTGAATTGAGGTAGATCAGTACCTTGGAAACACAACTTAAATTCTATGTTAATATTAACTGCTGTCATGTTTTAAGTCCCCTTTACTGAATGTGACAAAACAGGGTTTTGTGCTATTAGAGGAGGAGAACAGACTTCAATGGCATTTCGCCAGTTACAGTATTATTGTTTGTCAACCATAATACATTGGTATTTGTACCAAAAAAGAATAGTCTAACCTAGAAATAAGCACCTCGCAGAATTCATGTACATCAAGTTTCAAATAAGCAGGACGATATGTCAGTCAAATTTCTTGGATATCTTCACAAAACCTTTTTTGAACGATTTTTGAATGAGCAGTGTGTGGATGCTGATAGGGAAAAGAAAACATGCGAAACACAAGCCTACGTAATGCACCATGCAAACCCAAACTCGGGAACCTTTAAAATCAAGTCTGGTATAAAGATGTATAGGTCTGAATTGTGCCTTGGAGAGTTCCAGCAAGAGTTAAAGGCCGCCCTACAAAATCGTCTTCTGCCGGGCAGAAAACAGACTCCCAGCACCCTTCTCTCTATTCCCTCTCGCACTCTTCTCTCCTCTTCTCCCCACAGGAGCGCATCTCTGAGCGCATCTCTGAGTCCTTTACCGCAGAGAGGAGGAGTGTCTTCCTCTTTCTACGATGGAAAGAAGAATTTGAGGGAGAGTATCCTCCTTTCTGCTCGTTGGTTGGCCTTCATGTGATGGACCGCGTTTGAATCACCCCTTGTCGTATAGCGGTTATGAAACAACCAATTATTGTATCATCAGGGTTCAATTTAAATACATATCTGAGGGTCCATTGCTACACTTTTCAAGCAGATTTAGTCACGATATTACATGTAAATACCCGCCGCAAAACAAGTGGCATTCATGTTAGAAACTTATCAACATGATTCTCATAAAAAAATTCACATTCTCCAAAATATTCAATTACAAAAATGTGCGAAGAATGTCAAAAGTAAAACATCTTTATTTTACTACAACAATGCCGCATGTATAAATAGGTGACGCAAAATACGCATCCACCATCTTCACAAATCTTTTACACATGGACATCATGTTCACATTAGTTTTGTTTTTTACATTTTTGGCATAACGTTTGATGTTAGTCACAATTTTATCAAAGCGCAGAAGAGTCCATGACGACAAATCACGGCTGAAACGTTTCGTTCGACGTCTTTTCAGGCACTTCCCTGGAACGTAATTCAAAAATAAAATTTATTTGGTGGCAGAAAGGTTTTGAAAGCGATTACACTTAACCAGGTTTTTGGGACATATTTCCTACCCGTGTTATTAATATAGTTATTGTAGATACGTGATATAAATGTGCTGATAATGCTTTCTTCCTGATATAGGCACCTGTTGGCTGCACGAAATATCAGAAGCTTGGTTTAAACGCAACAGAAGATTTATTTGAATATTTCAACAATATGTTAGCAGAACCAAACTGCACTGAAATCATATAAGTGTCGCACTAGTGCATTGTGCAACACTGTTTTGCCAACACGCTATCGGCGTTTAATAAAAATGTATACTAAGTAACTGGACGGGCAATAAAACCTATTACTTAGTATATGGCCCAAAATGAGCACTCCCCACATCACATAGTGTTGACAGCCTCTTTATTCAAGAAGAACGAACAAAAAGGCTATTGCTTGTTCGCGCTAACAGTATCGCGCCTGTAATACACTAGATTTTATTTGAAGAGCCATAGAATCAGCATGTCAAAAAACACCTATCCTTAGGTCTATTTTTTTAAATTTTACCTATACTTGATTCGTGAACGAGCTTGGTCGCGTCTTGATTTGGTAAAGGGTTGTGACCTCTTCTCTACAACAAGTTATGAACGCTTTGCTCACTGCTTCAGCGTAATAAACTAAAGGTTGTTCAAACTCACAAACCCTACACGACATGAGCAGAATAATAGTCACGAATCTCGTGAGCTGGTTACAAAGGCGGCGTCCGTTAAAGTCAATATAAAAAATACAAACTAAGGGACTAACATATAGAGGGATTGGTGGGCGAGTGTGTTATGGCGCCGTAGCTCAGAGAAATCTAGCGAAAGCTCGCGCTGCAAAACCCGGCGATCCCGAGTCGAATCCCCACCCCTGCCCGATTTGATCAGAACGAAGATCGTACCGGTGTGAGTTTGTTTGTATCACTACTTCCTGACGCACGTTATCGATGCACTGGTTAAATTTCTCGTCTATGGCCGAGACACCAGACGTCAAAATAGGTTGACTAACGTCCGGCTGTATAAATATACACATAACTTTTTTTTTTTTTAAACAAATAAGTGACGATGAAATTTTGGGCAGTAACAGATTTTTCGGTATAAGTTACTAACCTCAATCTTCCAAAGAAAAAAATGCCAATTTGCAATCCTTGCATTGGGGTGGGCAGAGAATAGGGTTCAGGCACTCCTTTTTGCAGTAGGTGGGGCATATTTTGGCAGGTACAGCAGCCACCATGGCCAGGATGCACACCAGCAGGGTCACAAAAAGCACGACTTGCCGTAAGCTCCACATCGCTGCGTGCTAAAAAAAAAGAAAAGAAGAGACGGATATTGGCGACACAAGCACGATTAAAATGAAACCATGTCTGAGAATCTTCATTATTGTGCTCCTCGAAAACTCGTGTTCTAATGGTTAAGATATTCACAGAACAAAAGGGTTTTTTGAGTATGTTTCCTTTGCAGGAACGCTTTATAACACAATAGATTAATTAAAAAAAAAATATTGGGGCGTGGCGAGTTATGCGCATATCATTAGTATTCCACCGCCAATGAGACTGTGGCAGTAGCCGATAAGGTGACCAAAAAATAATCACAAACCGAGAGCGCATAATTAGCAACAACCTGCGGTTCTTAAAGCGATCAGTGAGAATAACGACAAAAAAGAAAGCCACCTACAATTATTTTACGACTAAAGTTTGTTATTAAAACATTTTTCGTTATGAGAGCCTTCTCTTTTCAGTCCCCTTGTAAAGAGTATTATTTAAGAGGGAAATTGGTTAAACGTTTCGCAAAATAATGAGAACGCTTATCTTTTACTTTCTCGAACTGGATTCTTGGATAATGCACTTAACAAATTATCAAATACACCAAGAGCTAATTAACCGCTTGCTCGCGTATGATATGCATCTTAAAAGATTGCATTTATGCGTTCAGCGAACGAAAAGTAGAAATGATCTATCAAAACAAAGTGGGGTATAATTGGTGTAATTTTAACTTCATTCCCTTGTTCCCCAAAACAATACGAAGTTTAAGAAGGGTGATACTATTACCTTCGACCCTCCCTTGTAGTGTGGGTTTTGATGTTCTCATAGTTTGCTAAACCTAAGCTAGTGATAAAATAAGGTAATATCAGCCCAGCAGGTTTATGAGCCCTATCATATGTTTCAACATTTTAGTTTTTTTTTTTTTTTTTCGAGGGAGGGGGGTGTTTTTTAGTGTTGATAGAAAACTCTTGTTTCAGAGGCCGCGCATTGCATTCGACATTTGAATTGTCGATCAGCGTAATCTAGAGTTATGTCCAGGATATTTCTCGTTCAGGAAATTTTTATTTTAGTTCATTTTTTGTAAATAAAAAACAGCGGTCCTAGACTGTGCTAATTTATAAAAGCCTAGGCTTTGACTACAGAAGGCCACTAGTTAATAATTAAACTTGATTATCAGCGTTTGCATAAAATACATATATTAAACGTGTAAAAAAAACTTTCTAGCAATAAATGCTTAAAATGAATTGCTCTATGGCCTTAATTTTGAGTTTTTGTGGCGAGCTTAGACTTTCGAACTGAAAAACGGAATTATGTGGAGCAAATAAAAATGCCGAATAAACGCCGTCTGACTTAAGTAAACAACCAAAAAGAGGCTATACATATTGGCTTTTTACGGACACATGTAAAGTAGATATCGAGGAAAAGAAAAATAAAAGTTCATAAAATACCGTGCGAAAACAATACGAATACGAAGAGTAAACATTAAAAATACTATTACACAAACTTATCAAAGTAGTCTATTTTATGTGTTGCTCGTAAGGTAGGTTACTACATGCACTGCAACAAGAAAAGTTGGGCTAGTTGGTGCCTTATGAAAACTTGGAAACACCGCGAATTAAACGAAGAACAAGAGCGAGAAGTGAACAAACACAGAGTTCTCTTAAGTTATTAAATATAGTATCCATAATGCATGAATACGCACTGAAGCCAAAGTACATGTAACCTATCGTAATTTTTCAAAATATGTATTTTCGCAATTATGCAGCAAATGATCAAATACATGCATATTATACACCCAACATAACGTTTCCGATCTGATTCCGAAAACGGCGCAAAAGGAAAATCCCTCATAAGTTTCTCGCCAGTCAAGGGGAGATCTAGATTCTAACAAGGCACATATAGTACTGACTGTATATACACTCAGTGCAACCATTCTTCCTGCAGACGTCATGCAGGGAGCCTCCTGTAATGTATGCAAAATCTAAAGACGCGAGAACCTTGCAGGGGTATCAAGCTGCCCCAGTCCACTCACCTTGTTTCACGCTTAGTTACTGCGTCGATGACTACGAGGGCTGAGGACGGGTCTTTTATGGCCAGGGCTCGGGAAACTCGCCGAGGTTGGGTTATCTACGTGCCAGGGTTTCACGTACCTGCAGCAACGAGCCGTGGGAAACACAGATACCGATAACAAAGTTAAGCATACGAGAAACATCCCGACACTGGGAGAAAGAGACAGGACGGACAAACACAGAGGTCTCAGACACAACTGAATTTATATGAAAAAAGTTGGTATTTAAATAGCCTTCAAGAACCCACACAAAGATAAAAAAAAGGAAGGAACGAAAAAAAAGAACTTTTTCTACAGAAACCCAGAAGGTAAGGGATCACCGATTGAAACGCGAAACGTAAAGTTCTTGAAGGCTATACATAAACACACACTTTTCACAGCCTGTGTTTGTCCGTTCTTTCTTTTTTCCCAGTCCCTTAACTACCACCAGTTCGTTTGCGCCCCAAACCTTCTGTTGAAAAAAGTTAAGATGATGTGGCTGCATAAACGGACACAAAACTAGCAGCGGTCGTGACGGGACAAAGTCGCAGGCGCAGCGAAGTTTAATCTGGTCCCGGAACCTGACTCGGCAAGCCGTACTGGGAACGAAAGTTGTTTCGCGGTGTGAAGCCGGTGCGCATTGTGTCAGCGCAACGTTCCAAGAAAGAGTTGCGAAAACATGCCGACCTAAGGATTCGCCTAGATGCCTGTTGTGTTAACGAGGTAGAGGCAATACTACGGAAACAGTTATTAAATACGCTTCCCTTCAGCTTACAATAAAACAGAGCCGAAACTATGGGCACCTTGTATATATGAATGTCCAAACACGAGTGAGTTATAAACCTGGGGTATAATGCTCCTACGCTCGTCTCAATACACGCTGAGACGCACGCCGAAGAAATAAATAACGAGGTTTCAAACTGGTTCGGTGATTGGACTTGACGCCTTGTAGGCTTTAACGTAGTCCGGCGTCGGGTGGGGCGAAGTACGGCAAACAATCACGTCAGTTTCGACAAAGTTGGTGCAAGCAATTTTGAAGATTGAAATGACAATACTTTTGTGCGATAGTTTTTCTAGTAATTTACGCAAACGACACGGTGTCATTCCTCCAAGTCAAAGCGAGGCCATACCAACGTAATTTTTGTTTTTATATTCGAAATTTTTGAGTACGGGATAGATTAATTCTAGTTCATGTTTATTGTGACGTCGTACGTGGATGCAATTTATTACTTATAATTTTCGAACGTTTGTATGCATGCTAGTGATAATTCACCAGGATGTACTAAACGTCACGAAACATTCAAACACAAACAAAAATGTCCTCCTTTAACGGTGTTTGTATAGCAAATGTTCATATTTGTTTTCCCAAATGATTTATTTGATAAAGACATACTTGAAACACAAATAACAATCATCAGACAGGGACAACTAGAACCACTTGTGCTGTCTACCAGTAGTTAAGGGGGGTTAAGGTTTTGATTATGAGGATCTCGTGTCGCTGGTCGTGCCGTTCTTCAATTTTAATTATTTTTTGTTTTGCTGGTTTTTGTTATTTAGCCGAAGTCGACCGTGTGGTCTTTGATTTGCAAGCCCGAGTTGGAAATGACGTTTTGGAATTTTTCTCCTGTGCTTGGCTATCAAATACCACGCTTTTCAAAAATTGTGCTAATAAGAACAATAAAAAATATGTGCAATCGCGCAGCCTGCGCAAAAGAAAAGTATATATGTAGTGTTGAAAAAGGATCTATATTGCAATCCTTGTTTCTACCGTCGGCAAGTATAAAAAAAGGTGAGGACCACAGCGCGAGAGCGGAGAGAGATATCAATAGTATTGGCTGGTCTACCACTCTGAAGGACGTGGTAACGTTTAAGTGTACAAAGGCCACCATGGCCACCAACAAGGGTAAGATATACCACCATAAGACGGAATTTGAAACGCAATGGGCATTCTCACTATAATCCTTATTAATGGTATTGCAATTTTGCTTCATCTTTTTTATGGATTAAATCCACCTACGTTGGGAATTTTTTTGGGTCACTGCTTTTGTTACATCATACTATGCACATTTACTCGCTAAACCAGGTGCAGATTTCTCGTGGGACAACTGCGTGAAATTACGGCTGAACTTATTCTGTGTTTGCGATAAAAACGTGTGCGCGTGTTACACTGTAGAACTGACCTTTGTGCCCCGCATAAAGCAAAAAACAACAAGAAAGTAGTTTCAGCATCAATATCTTGATAAGACGGTTCCAGGTCATTACTATCTGAGTGTCGAAGTTTGCACGGTTCACACCTTATCTAGCAGTTCGGTCGCCTAAATTACCGGCGTAGTAGCAAGCACATCCGCTATCCAAAGTGTGTTCCGAATTGAAAATGTAATGTAAGGTCTCAAATCTGAAGTAATTGCTACAGTTGCGCGCATATCATAACACTATTTTGATATCTTGTTTTCATTCCAAACAAATAAATATTTTTTTTGTGGTCTCGCAATTTATGCGTAAGTTCAAGTACACTTCTCATGCTATTAATAAGGCGCAGAAGTCAATTCTTCCTGGAAGAAAGAATTGGCTTCTCTAAATTTCGAGTGCACATGTATGGCGATTTCAACCTTCCTGGTTACGATTGGGAGTCAGGCAGCTTCTTAGTTAGTCATACGAACACAAGGTTGAAGCTACTTTGTCTGTTAGACTTCCTTCATTTCAATGGTTTTGAACAACGTTACTGTACGCAACTGTTGTGGAAGCATACTTGACCTTGCCCTGGTCACTTCGGCTGTTGATATCAGTCTTGCCAAAGCTCCTAGCTCTATCTCGGGTGGATAGCTATCATCAACCTTTTATTGTATAATTTTTCTTCCCACTTGCCAAGCGGATTTTCCATTCACAATCATGGTTTTCCTACTCCAACGGTGATTACGATTCATTGTATCAGTATCTTCGGGACTATGACTGGAGTAGTGTTCCAGCTGATCAGTGTGTTGAATCATCAACTTCCACACTTTCGACTATTGTCCAGGAAAGCATGCGACTCTTTATACCAAAGAGAGTGTCTCATAAGAGTGACAATCCCATATGGTTCTCGAAGGAACTAAGACATTGCTTAAGGCGCAAGCTACACTATCATCGCCTGTACCAAAAAACTGGCAATGTCGTTTGGTACACGAGATTTAGTCAATGTCGTGCAGAGGCGAAACAATTGTTTAAACGAGATAAACAACAACATGCTGACATCGCCGAGCAATCATTGAGCACACAGCCACAGTGTATGTGGAAGTTAGTCAAAGAGAGCATCAAAGAGAATGTTACCACGATCACATTGCGAGATAATGAGGATTGCGTCTCTGACCCTGTTGATGTAGCTAATATCTTTGCGCGCCACTTTAGTGCTTTTTCAAAATTAACTGTTGGGCTAGTTGGCTACACATTGTAAAAAAATTCAAAAGCGCGAACACCAAGGAAAAGAAGAGGGGACAGGAGAGGGGAAGAGGGGAAGCGCTCTGTCCTGTCTCCTCTTCTTTTCCTTGGTGTTCGCGCTTTTGAATTTTTATAGTGCTTCTTTCAGTACAAATAATGGCCTAATGCCTAGCTCGAATGTAAACTGCCTGGATTCTTTGACTGTTGATCCAATTAATGAATCTGAAGTCTTGGAGGCAATTAAAAAATTGAAACCAAAGTTATCTACGGGAATAGATAGAATTCCCAGCTTCATAGTAAAAGGTTCTCCAGTCCAGTTTTGGTTCAAATCTTTAACTTATCACTTGCGTCTGAAACATTTCCTACCGCTTGGAAGCGCTTTGTTGTCGTTCCATTACATAAATTGGGTGATCGATCCATGGTTAACAACTATAGGCCAGTCTCCCTTCTTTGTAGTTTTTCTAAAGTTTATGAAATTGTTTTGCACACCCGCCTTTGCGCATATTTTTGTCGGAAGATTATTCCTGAGCAACATGATTTCATGAAAGACCGCTCCACAGAAACCTGTGTTTCTTCCTACGTCAGATTGTACCATCTGTCCATAGCGGAGGACAAGCGGATGTAGTCTACTTTGATATGAGCAAAGCTTTTGACAAAGTTAATCACCCATTACTGTTGAGTAAACTCTGTAGTTACGGTCTGTCCCTTAAGTACTGTCGTCTCCTCGATAGTTACTTATCTCATCGGCTGAACTTTGTGCGAGTATCCGGCCGATTATCTGCTCCTTTTTTATCTACCTCTGGGGTTCCTCAAGGCAGTAACCTCGGTCCTTCGCTGTTTTTAGTTTTTGTAAATGATCTAACTTCCTGTATCAAAACACACGCGGTTTTTGTTATTTGCTGATGATATTAAGTTGTTTACAGCGGTTAAAACGGTTGCCGATTGTGAATGTCTTCAGCGCGATATAGATTCTATTTCGGCGTGGTGTTTTTCAAATGACCTACTCTTAAATGAGTCAAAAACGAAAGTTATGTCCTTTTCTAGGAGCGTGAAATTCTGAGTTTTCCCTATGTATTAGATTCCACCAATATTACTCGCGTTGAGGTCATCCGTGATCTAGGCGTTTTTATGAATCCTGCAATTAATTTCAACCATCACGTGACCACAATTACGAATGCTTCCTTTAGAGTGCTGGGAGCCATTACACAAGTGACACGCGATTTTTCTAAACCACTTTGTATTTTACGTTTGTTTTCTTCACTGGTGCGTAGTCGTGTTGAGTATGCCTCAGTTGTCTGGAAATGTATTGGAGTGACAAATTCAGGTTTAATTGAGAGTGCTCAACGTAGGTTTGTTCGTGTTTTGTTTGATCGTTTTTTTCAACCGAATTATTTCTATAGTTATTAGAGGATTTGTGAACTCGTGAAGTTAGACTCGTTGCACAAAAGGAGAACAATTCGTGAACTGACATATTTGTATAAGATTGTAAATGGTATAATTGATTCCCCAGAGCTACTCAGTCACATCTATTTGCACGTTCCTCGTCAGTCTTGTAGACATTATACTTTGTTTTATCCTATCGACTTTTACCATGCTGCACCCATGACACGCCTACAACTGACTTATAACCATTTAGAACAGATTTGTGCGAATGCTAGCCTTGATATATTTGATGAAAATCGTAAATTTCGACAGTGTGTTGAGGCTATTGTTTTTTCCTAACGCTTCGCTTTTATCCTGTTTAGCGTTGCATTTCTGAAGGAATAAGTGCACCACTAAGGAGGCGTCAAGCTGTTGGTAGGTCACTGAAAATAAGAATAAACATAAACATAAACATATGCTTACTGATTGATTGTTTCCTTTAGACCACAAGCAACAATGAATATCAAAAGGCTATTCCTGTCCTCACATACCGGATCAGGGTTAGAGTTTTATCCAAGCCCAAACATCTTGACTGCCAGATGCCAACGGTAGACCTCCGACAGCTTTTCATTGCCGACATCTGGTGCCTTATCGCACCTTCGTCAGTTTCTGTTGCATCCACAAACACTGACGATGGGTAAACTTTTTATTGCAACAACGTGACAAATACAGTAAACTACCAACAGCACAAAAAGTGCGCTTTTAAATGCACTGCTAATAAATTAACAATTGCAGGCACACATCACTGATATGGGCTACTACAAAGTGTGGGCAGACATAACCTAATAGTGACGCATTTGAAATAACTTCATTTTCATTTCCAGCACAATTAAGTAAAAGTTATTTCTTATCGGCAACACATCTCAATTGTCCTTCGAATTTTTTGGTGGTATTAAAACTGGGCTTTCACCGACTCGTAAAATTACGAGTAGCCATAGTGGCATGCATGCGTGTGCCTCAGCATGTGCTGCTTCAATGATGATGTATTTTATGGTTCTCACAAGCATCTCGTTCATAATACACATCCAGTCCCGTCTTGGACAACTGGGAGCTATAAATAAGAGACAGTATACAGGCAAGCTGGTTAGGAAACACGTCTTGACCCTGAGACATGGAGAAATAAAATTACCGGACAATACGACACGAAGTCAAAATTGAGATATTTTCTGTCGTATTGTCCGTTAATCCATTTACACGTGTTTTGGGGTTTAGACTATATTGGAACTTTCCTTACTGCCCCTTGTGTCCCGTTTGTCTGTTCAATATTATGTTTTTCGTTTACAAACAATTACTCCATCCGAAATGGTAGGAATTGTCTTAAGTCGCAGTAGGCCTTCCACAAAAAATATTGGAACGCAGCACAATTGTCATTAACAACAGACGACTAGTTGTATAGAATATATCACGAAAAAAAGATTATTACGGGTTAGAGCAACCGTTTAGAAGCGAGTCCTATGGTTGATTTTATTAGCTCTTCAGTGCATGGTCTATGACGACGGAAACATAAGGGCCACAAATCACCAACTCTTTACGGCAGAATTAATTGTACTTGGTTGACATCTTTCAGCGCCTTAAAGCAAGGTAATATGCAACCTTTTTCAAGAAGTTTGTCACACTACGGATGTTTTTGCACTCCGTGAAAATTCATCAAAAGACAGCAGCAAAGACGTGAGATGCTTAAACATGTTTACTCAATAACAAAGAATGTGAAGAACCCAATATTATTACCCTTCGTTTCAGCTTTAAACCGGACGCAGCCGACGCTGCTTCCGGTAACGAATCAAGCAGCGTCCAGTGCGCAGGTCACTAGGCCTTTTCTGTTTATGATTCGTTCAGCGATGATAGAACACGCACAGACGCATGCCGAACACCATAAGGGTGCACTTTTGACGCTGTCTGATTAGTCCTATCAGCTCGTAGCGTTGGTTGCGTCGGGACTTAAAGCGAAACAAAGCATGCGGGGCCCAAGTTCGTCTGCTTCTTTTGTAGGGGTTGTGGTGGCGTTAGAACGCCGGGCTTTGATTGGCTCTGACTGAAGGACAGTGAGTGTAGACCTCAAAGACAACGGCAGCTTGAGGTCTACCCACTATCCTTCAATCAGAGCCAATCAGAGCTCGGCGTTCTGACGTCACCGCAAAACCTGCAAAAGAAGCAGACGAACTTGCGCTCCGGATAGCCTTATCGTTGCAGTCACATCGAGCATTTTTGCAACACTGTAATGTCGTTGACGACTTCATGGATCCTCCCTTTTATGGTACACTCCTTTGGGCGTCGAGTGTTGCAGGATTCTGCCCCGTCGCCTTGAATTGCTGACGCAGGATATAAAGCTCAGGAGGACCTGGGGACAGAAAGAAATGATCGGCGTTTGATACGCAGGGCTTGAATAACTTAACGTCAGCTGTACTGGGCTTGTTGTACTGGGCGAGTGTAGCCTTGCCGAAAACGAACAGAGCGAGCGCGCGTTTATTGCAGGTGGCTTTGGCACCGGGAAGGATCAAGTACAACATGTCATACCCTTGCTCTATCACTGATAATCGTAGCGATCGGGGCGTGGCGAGTTCATTCAGACGCGATTGTGATGGAGGTCATGTGATCGCATTCCTCGCCACCTGCTCTTTCTCGCCTTCGGTTGTCCGTTTCTTCGGCGCTCTAAGCCTCTGCACGCAAGAATGGGCAATGGCGGCCGAAGCATAGGCTGGAGCAAGCAGCGGCTGCTCGACGGCGTAAACGCGCCCGTCAGAGAGGATGTCGTCGATGCGTAGGCACCGACGGTCTCCTCACCCTGAGTGTTAGGACGGAACGCATTTGACGATCATGCTGTGCGTGAACGTGAAGCGCCACGTAGAAGAGAACGTTATCCAGCGGAGAACAAACACGCTGGTGAGACCCAGCGATTTGTGCAGCGTATCCGCAAGGAAGTGTTTGGCACCCGATAGCTGCTCAGTGTGGGATCGGTTGTAGTTTACGCGCGAGGCACCGCGCGACGGCACATCGCCAGAGTTTCCATCAGTCACAACGCAATCTCATCAAAATGTCGCACCAGCTGACGCTGTCCCTCCGCATCAAATCAAAAAATCATCCGCGCTTTTTTATTTTTTATTACAGCAGCAGTTCTTACGGGCTGGTTACCCCGGATTTGTGACAACGTGAGCGTAAAGGAATTCAGCTTCCCTGCTAAAGTTAGCGGAAAAATCGACGTCACATGACCTATGCACCAATTCACTTGCCCGCTAAATCTAGCAGAAAAATTGACGCTACGTGAGCTATGCACTAACTCAGTTTCCCTGCTAAATTTGGTGGCTAAATTGATGTCACGTGACCAGACGTCACGCGGCATACAGATGAATTCAGGTTTCCCGCTAAATATAGCGAAAAAATTTTCGCCACGTGACCTATGCACCAATTCAGCTTCCCCACTAAATTTGGCGGGAAATTTTTTGTCGCGTGACCCGACGTCACAACACCAAGACAAACACGTTTTCCTTGCTAAATTTAACGGAAAACTTTATGTCACGTGACCTATTCACCAATTCTGTTTCCCCGCTAAATTTGGCGAAAACATTTAGAGACACCGTGGGCGTAAACCGAAAATGAAGAAGAAAGCTGCTGCGGACTAAACGCACCACGCCGTATGACCGTCCCCCAATTTTTGTTCTTAGAATCTGCATCACTAATATAACTTATATGAAGGAGTGCGTACTCTATGGTTACTGTTGAGAAAAAAAAAAGAAACATTTTAGTGACATAAATAGAATGTGTTCGTGACGTCCTAATAAAAATTAATTGGAAATACTTTTGTTGAAGCATGACTGGTATACCACGCCCACGAAGACAATTGCCGGTTATTTAAAATACACGAAAAAAAATCCTTACAGAGCCATTCAAGCAGCGTAAAAAGTCCGACGTCATGGTGGTTGTCGCATTTACGTGTTGCCTGTCACCGACTATAAACCAATCACGCTAAATGAATTCGCCACGATAGCGTGTCTTTTTTTTTGTGCGTGATTGGTTCATTCGGCTATAGCGTTACCATAAAAACAACGGGCATCATGACGATGCACTTTTGACCATGTTTGATTCACTACATGCGATCGTAGCGTTGACTGTGGCCGGACTTACACTGAAACGGAATTTAGGAAACTGTGTAAACGTCGAGACTCGAACGCCATAATAGCACCAGCGTGTGCCAGGAAACACCAAGTTCGATTGTCAACAAATGGTATCATATTTGCTTTTGTTTGCGATTTACCGGTTGAGGCCGACTTCAACGAAAACCATAACTTGAAATTCAGGAATACCATATATTTCTAATAATGTCAGTATACAAAAATGAAAGACGGTTAGAAATTTTTGCAACGTGAAATTAGAGCGCAGCTCTTGAGGAGGAGGGGGAGGGCACGGAGGGGAAAGTGTGCCCCTTCCCCTCCTCCGTACCTCCCCTGATCATCTCCTCCTTCTGCCTTCCCTCCTCCTTTTTTCCTCCTCCTCCCTTTCTCCTCCTCCTCATTTCCCCTCATAAGCAATTCAATTCCTCGCTAAATTTAGCGGGGAATTGAATTGCTGTTGAGGTCACGTGAAGTCAGTTTTCCCGCAAAATCTAGCGGAGAAACTGAATTAGTTCATAGGTGATGTGCCATCAAGTCACGTGATGTCATTTTCCCAGCTAAAATTAGCGGGGAAACTGAATTGGTGTTCATTTGAGGTCACGTAACGTCGATTTTCCCGCTAAATATAGCCTAGTTACGCCGAAGCCGAGGGCGACGCCGCGAAACCCGGAAAAATGCGCCTAAGAGCTGCGCTCTAAAAAAAAAAAAAACACAATACATAAACGTCGTATGAACATATTATACTCGTTTACTTGTGCTATGTGTACCAGTGCTCCATTGCCTCCGGAGGCAAAAATAATTATCGCAATATAAAAAAGAATAGATTCAATCTACATATTACGAACAGTAGTATTGAACTTTTTTAATTGAAGCCTTCAGGTATAATTCTGTCGTGAAAACAGCTGAACCTAGGTTTTGTCCGCGAATATCATGGTTTAGGTTATCTCTTAAAGTCGTGCAAATAATCAAAGAGAGTTTATTAAAACATACGCAGAAACAGAGGAACGCCAGCAGCACCATCGTAGCGTTGCCGTATCCGATAGTGTCCATGATATATCGACTCAGCGGCGGTGAAATCGATGACCTGCGAAGGGTTCATCGTTAGCGAAGGACCTGCCTTGTGTAACATATATTGTGGTTAAGAATTTCCTGCTTACCCTAAAACAATGGCAAAGAAGAGAAAGCCGCACACTGATCCGTAGGTCCACATGTTGTCAGGAAAACCTCTTTCACTGCGCGAAAAGGGAAAGAAAAGCGGCGTCACATATATCCGTCACATCGTTCTTTGAGCACAATATAGTTCGATGTAGCTTTCCTTAAGTAGGCTGAGTTTGTCCGCTATCACTTCGCACGACGAAGCAGTCCATAAGCACAATTGCATATTTGAGAAAACGTTTCGGTTTTTATGGTATTGAGTTATTTTGGTGAAGCCAAGTCTTTGTTCGGATCACCAACAAGCTACACGTCAGAAAACTTCTGCAGTATTTGTATAGAAGAAGGAGAAAACGTATCTTACATTGATTTCTTAATGGAAAGACTAAAACTGCAAATGATGACTGCCGATGCTCCCAGGCCGGTCAGTACTTGCGATATGTAAATGAGCCACATGTGTCTGAAAAAACAAACAAAAAAATGTACAAGCATTATTTTTAAAAAAACATACACATACATATGTACTGTGCATATCTCGAAATTGCATTTAAGATTTTATCTACTATAACAACATTATGATCCTCATTTTGAGTATTACAATAATAGATTTAAATGCTCTAGGAACCGCTCGAGTATTTACAGTACAGAAATGTCAGTTGTTTTCATAATCATGGGAATGATTTAGATGAGAGCACTCAGTATTGCATGAAGCAGTCCACAACAGACAAGCGATACAATTCAGCGTCGGAACTGTAGACCTGTCTACTTGTAAATGTGTAGTTGGACGAATATATGATCAGAAAACCTAAAGAAGGTGGTCAGAATCTATGCACGCAAATGAAATAAACCCCTATACTATTTCGTAATTAGGACGTTCTCGCCGGCATACAAGAAATAAGGAGTTCTCGTGATTTATTTTGAGCCGAGGTACGATTCGCATTAAGACCACTCATACCTACGAAATAAGACTTTATTTATAATACAATAAAAAAGCTTCGATATTTAACGTAATTCTGAAACCTAAAAATGTGTTCATGTAGCCATAGGCCTGCGCGCGCCAGCAGCGGGTAAAATAATTAATATTTTGTACGCTTTCATAACGTGCAAGACGTACACAGGTACGTTCTTAGTCTACAGAACACCTGAAGCTTTGTTGACATATGTCTGACACCTAACGTCTGCTCTGCACGACTAGAGAAGTCACTGATTGTGACGAACCGCTATATATTAGCTATGCAACGAATTGAGTTGCCGCTGCTTACATGCGCTCATTTTAGTTGAACCTCAATCAAGATGAAATTTCAGAGGAATTTGCGTTCCTCTGAAGCTAGAAGACCAGCGTTTTTCTTTCGCGACAAAAAACAGGGCGCCAGGATTGTCGACCAGCACGTTGGTGGCTCTGCCGCTGAAGGCTGGTCTAGAACGATTGCATTTGCGCATGCTCGACTACGTTGCGTCCGCTTCTAACAGCCTGCGATGACAGAGTACACGTCTCCAATCTGCGTATTAGTATTACGCAACATTCTTTTGCCCTGGGCTTGAAACAATCCTCACAATGCTATACCTGACCCTTTCCCAGATAGCGCTTTGATTTGATCGTTCAAATACTGCAAAACCACCGGTTATGTGCAGATCGGAACGTTAACCGGGCTATCCTGATAGATGGTGTCACCGTGTCACGTCTTACGCGGTTGTAAACGGCTACAAAGCAGTCGTTCGAACTCAAACGCAGATATGGGAAGTAGTCTTTAATGGATGCTGCGGGCCTCCTTAGATAAAAAAAAAAAAAAAGAGAGGCGCCAAACTTTTGAAACAACCGCTTTCGTAGCCGCCATCACTTTCGGCGATGCAGGCGCCATCTATGCGTTGCTATGCTAACTAGACAAAGAAAGCGCACGTCCTTTGATCGCGGCAGTTCCCGCGAAACGCGCTCGTGGATTAAAGTATGGGAGCCCGTCTTGCGATCGTGTCATTCGGTTAAATTTTTTGTCGCAAACTGTCGCCGAAAAGGGTTATCAAATCTTCTTCAGTAAAGCCTAAAATGTATAGAAAAGATTCCGAGCTGCACAACTTCAAATAATACCTAACGAGACGACGAAATTGAGACACTGAAATAAAATTAATCAAATCGGGTGGCATGTAGACGGTAAGGTATGCTCTAAACCAGTGGTTCTGAAATGGGGGTCCGCGGACCTTTTGGGGTCCGCGAAGCCATTCTAGGGGTCCGCGAAGCCCTGCCTCATCACCCAAGCCCGGCAATAAAAGTTGTCTTTTCTCGGGTCCAGAAGAAATGTTTCAGTTTTCGGGCGAATTTTCTCGTATGTATGTCAGTAAGAGAGGTGTACTTCACATTAGCCCTTAGTTATATTCATTTCAATCAATATTATATTTAACCTATACCTTTCCCCTCCCCTCACCACGAACGGGGTCCTCCATCATCTCAGCCGATTCACAAATGGTCCGTGAAATATCGATGGTTGAGAACCACTGCTCTAAACACTCCTGGAAAAAAATAACTTACGGGGGAAAAGGCAGAAATGGTGCCGGACCTAGGATAAGGAACGCGACGGCCACCATTACAAAGCCAAGAAAGGCAGACGTATGTTCTTTTTCCTGAAAATAAAAAGGCACATTTATGTCAATGGAACGCGTACAAATAAAAACAAAATCAGTTTTATTTTTCTTTAAGATGACTTACCAATCGATACGAGAATACGTATCCCCAGAATAAAGCGCCAACTGCATAGAATATGTGCAACACTGTAAAAACCGCTCCAACTTCTTCATCAGGGAGACGGAACTGAAAAACAAAAAGACACTCATAAATATAATTGAAGTTGATGATGAGAACGGCATGAGACCAGCACGAGAACAGTATTAGACGGGAATCAAGGTTTTTAGTCCTCACAACACTTCAGCATCGCTTCGGGCACCGCGTGGGTGCCCGAAGCGAGCTCTACTGTCTTTCTCTGGTGCTGCGCTTTCGTATATTATTTTTAGGTACCCAAAGGCAGCTACTCTTGATCAGGGAAGTTGGAAGCAACTTATTCGGTGAACGACCGTGATCGAGCACAAAACGTATCATTCTGTAGCATAGGTGCCCAGCCTCCACAGAGCTTCACGAGGGCGGCTGGGTAATGTGGTAAGGTGGCCGATCGCACCCTTGTGATGGCTGCACCCGCAGAGCGGGTAAGCGCAATCCAGGAAACGTCATGGATATCAGCAGTGCGGTATCACATCATTTATGAAGCAGTAAGCATGGAATCGGTTACGTCACGCTACTACAAATTTTCAGCTTCAACAGCAATAAAACAACAAATGTACAATCTTCCAATTGAGGGGCAAAACTTAATCTCTCAAAGAAGCGAACAACAAAAATAAGAATGAATAGAGTCTTTCGCGCGCTCGCGGGGAGCAGAAGAAAACCAGCTGCCATCTTCCGTACCGTGTTACGTCACACTCTTTGGTTGTTTCAGTTAGATTTCTTTCTTTCATAAAAAATAATAATGAACTGTACACAGTTTTGCCGTGAAAATTATTACAGCAGTGTCTTATAACTGACACCACATTATATCGCCTTGAACAAGAAGAAAATATTTTTCGAGTGTGAGTTCTTTATTATTAGTAATATCGCTATACCACATTCAGGCCAAAATTGAATTTCATAAAAGAGTATTGAATTGAACCGTGATGCGCAGTACAAAGTAGTCGATTTCAGTTTGGTTACCCGCACTTTTTGGCATCGTTCTTAAAATATAGAAAACAAAGATATCTTTAGCAGTAGTATGTGATAATCTTGGCATTGCGCATAACTGCAGTTCCAAGGATACTACCAATAGAAAAGCAATTGCTGTTTTAGCGACAGACCTTCAAGAAACACAAATAGCCGGATATTTTTAGCCATACCATAATTAGGTCCCAGCAAAGAAACCAGCTTAACGCACGCGGAAACTGAAGGCAAAAGCTAAAACAAAACAGCTCATGGAGATTTTTGTTTTGTCATGCTTAAGCATCGTATGCGCGATCTTCATTACTATTGGCATAAAACCAATATAAACACAAAAAAGGAGAGTTCCGAAATTTACGTTCAAATATCCCGTTGCCGTGCACGGCACGTAACATTGGCTGATCAATATGTTTGCTATGGCAGCTAAACCTTATCGGGATGAAAATTTGGCGTACCTCTTCCTCCTTGAGGTGAATTTCCAAGGTTCCGTCGTGAAATCCCAGAGCAGCCATGATGATAGTTACGTTCAAAATATTCCCGATCATGGGAGCATTGCCGAGCAGACGAAACGAGTTCTGATCGGCCTGGTCTTTGGGAACGGCAAAAGCTGGAAAAATGCACCGAATATTCTGTAATATGTGTAATGTGTGTAACCTTGTGAGCAGAATGACTCAGGAAGAAGCATGCAGAGTTTTAGAATCGAATAAATCAGTGGTTAGGGTTTCTTTTTAACGTATTCTACCTGGTTTGTGTCACAGTTAGGCACTTGTAAAATTTTAATTTAGGGAATGAAGAATAAGTAAACAGGCGAGTTGGTTGATGTTACAGATTTTCAAAAAGCCCGGGAGACGATGGACGAAGAAGGGGACAAACACAAAGCGTCTTAAGCACAGCTGCTAAACTCTATTGACAAACCTCTTATATGTCATTTCTCAGACACAGGGAAATGATTGAAAACGAGCGTGTTGGTGAATAGATACGAACACGTGAATGGATATATAACACCGGGGACAGGGACGAAGACAGAACTTCTTTCATGTTTTCTGTTTCTCTTTCAAATTCAGTTTCTGTTTTCTTTTTTTTTTTCGTTCCCGTCCTCAATGTCCTATTTTTGTTTGTATTAGTGTCACACACACCGATGAATGGACGCTAACGGCAGTACCTTTTATATCGGGCGCTAGCTTGTGCCACCAAGCCTAGAAAAAAAAGTATGACCCTCCCTTCGCCCTTCTAAGTCAATTTGCTTCCCTTTTGTAATTTTGTAACTATCACCAGGCGGTGTGAGATGTCACTACGATGACCTTCGGGCTATCGGGCAAAAAAAATAAAAACATACTCCCCCCCGCTCTTACACCAGAAGAGGGAGTCACCAATTTTTTCTCTAATCAAACCTTGTCGGCGTTACCCCAGCGCCGGGCCCGATGGGAGACAGGGTTGAGATTTTAGGCCGGAGCCACAAGGAAGGGACTTTCCTGTGTTCACCCTGTACTCAGATGGGTTAGTCGCACTTTATTCTATTTTCCCTTGATAATTTCCACCGGTCTTCTAATCTTATCTTTTTTATTAAAATACACATATCATCCATTCCATTCTTGCCTGCAAACCCTAGCGCTCCGGCTAAATCCTCACCCCTTCGGGGAGCGCGGGGGCAAGCCCTGTGCACCTCAACACCACGTGTTTCATTCTCTCGTCTTCCCATTGGCCTACGGCACACCGCGTAAGTATCTATTTCCTTATACCTTCGGCCTATATACCCTAGTTCTCAATACTCCTGTTCTAGCCTCAAATAACAACAAGCTCCCCGAAATCCTCACAGGTCTTGGTGGATTTCCACCACGGTACAACTCGTCATGACCCCTATTCAAAGCAACAACCTCATCTGGTAAAGAGCTATGGTAGAGGGACCAATTCAAAACAAAACTTACTTCCCCAAAGACATAACCAAGCGCACCCTTGTGCATCCGTGCATAAGGCACCAGACTGACGCCAGGTAACACAACAAATAACCCATCAACAACGGCTAAAAAAAAGAGGGAATTATAACAGGAAGAACTTTTGGGTCTCTTTATTTAGTGTCATCGACGCCAATCGTTATTGTCTCCTTCAAAACACCTATTGCATAATCTTTTTCTTTGCTTAACACCACTGTGTTCGCCCAACTAGGCAAATAATTACTGGATTCCTGCGCATGCTCAGCGATTTGAGAATTCTGAGATCTGTTATTTACCGCCTTCATGTGCCCAAGAAGCCTATCATTTAGGCACCATTTTGTCTGTCCCACGTACGAGAACCCACAGGGCAGCGGAATATAATTAGGGTGTGCATTTTCCGGTTTTAACCGAAAAACACCGATAAACATCCGTCGGTGACGAAAATATAAAATCGGTTAAAACCGAAAAACACCGGTGGTTAAACATTTTCGCCCTGGTTAAACCGAAAAACACCGGTCGTTGATAGATTCCGACCTAGCGAAACCCTTTCCCCGTAAAGGTACGTCAAACGTGTTATCTCGTGGATCCTGCATTCTTCCAGTGTTTATACATGGCTTGCAGGTGGCGCCAGTCCGCCCTCCTTTCTGGGGGTCAAAAGCGTCTAGTGAACGCAGTGGAAGCTAAGCTCTCATACGCCTTTCCCCTATTGTGTCTCCCATGGCCCCCTTTTTCGGAAAAATTAACACAGTGGAGGGTAGGCTCTCACGTGCCTTTTCCACATTGTGTCTGGCCAAGTGATGTCCGGTGCAAGCGATGTATTCAGAGGTTGCTGTGGTTCCTGGAAGACACTGCCAACGTCCGTGTCGTACAGGAGCGTGCGTTTTCATAATTGCGGGTTGCGAACCGCAAGGAATGTGCTGCCATGACGGCAGCACGTTCCTTGCGTGTAGATGCAAGCATGAAAGTATGCTTGCATCTACTGTAATAACCAAGTGTTAAAAAAAGTTGCTTCTTAGAGAAGAAGTGTATGAACTATGTGAATAAAATTGGAACTCTCTGTCTGTGATCAATCGCTTTTTTTCACCGATATTCACCGATTTTAGCCTCGTCGTTAGTCGTTCCACCGAAATACACCGGTGTTTTGAAAATAAATAAACACCAAAAAACATCCACCGATTTTTCTCACAAATAAACACCGGAAAGTACACACCCTAAATATAATACACTACTCCAACTTGGCAAACAATGGCGGCTCCCTTGTTTCGTTTTCGGCAACCCTGTCTTCCACCCCCAAACGGCGTAACTTAAAGTCGGAGGTGAAACCCCCCTAACCCTGAACCTTCCGGCAATCACCAACAGGTTGTGTGAAAAATTACAGAAAAATGGAATGCTCACTACGCTGTCCGGTTTCTCCCTTTCTTTCTTCACCACCCTTCTGAATCCCTCTAAGCACTTCCTTGCGACCCCCTCCGTAACACTACTCTTATCCCCGGCTCCGTCATGCGTACCAATTGCCTCCTTACAGCTTCCTGTACTTCGTGGTGACAAGATTTTTTAGAGCGTTGTCTAGCAAAGCCACGACTACAGCTCTTTTGACCAATTTTGAATGACAACTTTTGTTTGGCAACAAGGGTTTCTTTCCGCGAGCCTGCCATATTCCCAGTACAACCCGTCTAGCGTGTTCATCCTCAGATTCCAATACTCAAGCATACCTTAGTCAGGCCCCTTACTGCTAAACGTCAACTCAGGCGCTGCCTGTACTATGACCTCTTTGATCGTCCGTAGCGCCTTCTTCACAACCGAACTTATCAAAATGTCATCAAGACATCTCCTAGTCAAAACCGAGCCTTCTGGGAACGATTGTACCGCTTGCGCAAAGGTTACGACCAACGGAGCCAAATAAACCTCGGACAACGCCGGCGCGAGGGACGAAGAGCCTTTTGAATAAATTTACCCCCTCAAATTCGACCGCTGTGGATTTCAGGTACAGTTCCGTTAAGTTCAAAAACTTCCTACGTCTATCTTTGAGAGTAGCAATGCTTGACGGAGGGAATAATATGTATTTAAAGTCAAGTGACATGGCATCCCTTTTTTTTGGTGGAAATATGTTAAAACATTTACCAGTTGTTTTGACTTTCTGATAACAATTGGGCTGGTCATATTGACTAATGACAGGCATCTTTGGAGGGAAGTTAATACAACTTTCAGCCTATAGGCATAAAGTTGTACCATTTCCATTCACAACTGCCCCCAAGTGGCAACATAGACTTGTGGTCTTTTAGAAATAACTTGACAGAGAACGAATGCCTTGTAATCTCTCCAACCGGTTTTCCGACCTTTTTTACTCTGACACTCATTGACTATTTACGATATATTCCTTTTGTACCCGTCTTCGTTCGTCGTCTCCGATTTTTTCAAGAAGTTAATTTAGTGTCACCTATCTTTGGCACCAAATATTCTCCTTAACTTAGAGTCGCTATGTAAGAAACAATTTTAAATACGAGATAGGTAAAATACTTATGGCGTAAAAAAAAATAATGTTTATCTCTAAGGCCTCTACTGATTAGTTATGGTAAAAAAGAAATATAGCATAAGCATAACATTCCTTGAATGCATAAGCTAAACAAATTAATATTTTGCTTTTTTTCAAATCCTTGTCCCTATTTGCGTTTAAAAAAAAATATGAGAAGCGTCTCAAGTGTCCGTGCATGAATTAATGTGCATCATCTACGACCGCGCCACCGTAGTTTTTTTTATTAATGCATAATGATTTACGCGGTGTTTTGTTAGCTGATTGGTCAAAGGTGTTTTCTTCTTGGGCCACCAAGCTTGAATGCGTAATTTGAAATGAAATTCGCACGTTATTTTCATAATTACTATCACTAATAGTATTTCATGCGCGTTCGATTATTTATCATACGGCCGGTGCATTCTATAACAGAAAAGAAAATAATAAACCAAGCACTTACATTTTCCCGGCGATGCGAATATTAGAATCAAAAGACCGAGAAGCATCAGTCCTGCGGTAATGAAGTAAGGAACAGGATGCGCCCACAACTAGAAAACAAAATAAACAAAATAATTATATTGCTGATTTGCCACACGTATATTTCTATATAGATAAAGTTACTCACATCGATCAGGGCGATGCCGCTCAAAGAGCCAATGGACGTGCACGCTCCGTATAAAAACTCAAACGCCGACTGAAAAAAAAAGATCAAGATATTAGCAATTAATTCTATAAACTGCGATCCCACAAATAACTTCTCTAATAAGTATGTTTTGGTTTTTATTTCAGTAGAAAAAAATACGATTGCTAATTTGTTTCAATGCTAGAAAAATGAATCTTTCACTGAGCCGTGATTTGCTGTTCACACTCTTTGCGTAACCGTACGATAGTTTTATAAGTACAATTTTTAGGTGGGACTTAAGCACTACAAATGAAGATATCAGATATTCACAGGCTGGCGTCTTTGTGGTTGCCGCCTTCACCGTGGCTTTAAAATCGAGTTCTTGACCTTAATAAATGAAACATCAATGAACTCACAATGATGATGCCGCAACTCTGCTGGTTCTTATAAGTGGCCGTGGCGTACAGAGTCACGATGAAAAATGCCTGGACGAAGCCGAAGAGTATTCCAATGAGAGATGTAGCTCCGACGAAAGCGTTCACATCGTGAACCCAGTACACGCATCTGAATGGAAAGAAAGGAAAGCTATATCATGCAATATGGAGTTTTGCACAAAGATGTCCGGGAAGGTGGGGGGGGGGGGTTCGAATTGTTGGAAATTACTTTGCATTGTTCGCTTTCCATTATGTCATTCGCTTAGAAAAAGTTGCTACTTCTGCTCCCTATTTGTTTTACCTCACATTAAATAGCCCATTAATTAATAACTAAATAACCGATTAATTAACCATGTTATCGACACCGACAGCTTCAGAAACGCAGGGTCGGGCGGGTCCTGAGCATCCAGTTATCGCTCAGCAGCCAATGAGAGGGCGGCATTCACCGATAAGAGCAACCGTGAACCATTCACGCCTGAGCAAGAAGCGTGAACATAGTAAGTCATGCCTTGCGCTTTTTAAACTGTACATGAATATAGCAGAAAGCAGATAATTTTTAAATGGCATTCATAAGCCCTTCAAAACATTTCTTGTTTTAAGGAGATAATTAGAGACAGGTCGTTATTCAAGGCACCCATCTTAAGTCGCTTTATTGGCAAGAAACGCCGATACTAGATGAAGGTGATAACTGTGAGTGAAATAATGTAACGTGTGGAACCAATAAAATTAAAAGAAATGACAATTTTTTATTAGAATAATTAGTAACGTGCTGGTGCATTGTATCAAACCCAAAGCATGACTTGCTTTCAGTATTACAGCGGTTGCTTAAAATACGTAGAGTGTCTTTGTTTAAATTAAACATTTAGGGGTTTTAGAAAGCTCGATATAAAAGAACCATACAATGCTGTAGAATCAAATGAGCACATTGGCGCCTACATGCGTATGTGGCGGGCTTTTCGACGTCATGTGCCACTGGCCTGTTCATAACATTACCACTAATCTTCTTGAAACTGATTTCTTTTCGACGTTAAGTACGTATTAACTTGACTCCATTTGTGCTTGTTTTTGATAAGGGACAAGGCTATACCTCATTTATTTTTAAGCTAACCCTGCAGCGCACTGTTAATGTAGTTTTTTGGCCAATTATATATATAAGAGTTACTTCCTCGGACGGCACCTTGTGTTTTAAATATACATGGAACGGACCCGTGATTATGTTGTTTTGACGTCTATTGACGATTAGTTCGTCTGGTTGGTTTGTTTTGACTTCACACTCTAAACGTTGCAACGCGCGTGTTCATGGTGTCAAGAGCTTTAAACAGGCATATATAGATTTCCAAACATCACAATAATGGCGTGTTTTACTATTTGAGGGAAAAAAAGAGTATCCTTTGTCATTTTTGAGAGCTTATAGAACATGTAGATAGATCAATAAACATCCAGCTTCACCCATAGAATCCCATGGAGGCGATCATCCCAATCAGTGCCAGTACCAGCGTGATGTGAGGTTTCAACCGCTGTATCTATAACAAAATGCACACGTGGAAAGGAAGTTAAATCTAATCCAGACCGTGAATTAGACTATTATTGTTGCGTGAAGCATGTACTTACGACAACAATGTTAAGTAGCGTACCCAGCAGCATTGTAACTTTTGAACTGGACGCCATGATGGTAAATTGCCATCTCTCCAAACGATTTTCTAAAGCCTGAAGCACATAAAAACTATGTAGATTAAGCAGGCTGTGCAAAATTGACACAGTAATACATCTGAGTGATATTCTTCCAATCTGAATAACAAGAAACAAGTTTAGGTTGGATATTATTAAAGCAAGGAATGCTTTCTAACGAAACCCGGTAATCGCATAATTTTTTCCCGTTCGCCCACCCGTCCACTTGACCACCCGTCCACCCGTCCACCCGTCCGTCCCTTTGTCGGCGCATGTGCCGCTACATACAGTAGATGAATTAATTTCCTCAAAAGAAATGTAAGTCCCGCACTTAGACTAGAGCCAAGCAAATGTGTTCGTTCCATTTTCCGCTTTGCTTAACCAAATAACTGAATGTACATGAATTTACGTGTATGCACAGCCAAGAATATACGGGCGTATATGAAGCACATCGAGAGTGAGTTCATGCAGACCTCTTACCAGACGTGGAATGTAAGGTGCGGTGAAGGCGAGAGAAAAGCAAGCAAATAGCTGCAGAGAGAGCAGTGGCAAGAGTTTGAGGGTCCTCGAGCAACGGGAAGGTTTCACGTCCTCTCGTTCCAGGGTGTCTCTGGTTTCGAGCTCTTGCAGTCTCGCTTCAAAGACTTCTTCTTCCTGGGTTCCGCCACTGTCGCTGTCCTCACGGCCAAAAACGGCCGTTGCCTCCTGAACCTCTCTCCTCCTCGGAAATCGAAAGCCGGGCATCGTCAATTGCGCTCAACGTGGTCTTAGACGAACTCAATTGGTTTATGTGAGACTGCAAAAAAAAATAATGTAAGAAAAAAAGAACAAATTGACACCTATCATATCCAATGATCATTTAGAACTCGCTGCTTACAAAAAACAATGTACCAAAACACAATATAAGCTTTTTAATTGTATTCTTAGCATGATATCTATGGTAACCGGCGACTTAACAGACGCCGGTCATTGTCCTTTATGCTCAGCTTATGCCTCGTGATTCGTTCGTTGTAGTTCGTATCGGCTAATTCCGCGATTCTAATAGATGGGGGAGCGATCCGATCATAAGAGAAACTCGAAGCGCCTAGCGATTCTAAAGATATCAGCTACTGTTGAACAATATTAAAGGATTTTATTTCCATTCGGAAACGCGTAGTGGTACATATACAAACAACATTTGCACTAATTATAGGATCGCCAATTCCTGCATGGGCGTAGGTACAACTCGACTAAATATCTTTACCGTCGCGAACGAGATCATAGACTACTATATCACCGACGCTACGCGGTAATGGACCCAATCATGTAGCGGTCTATAGCGCGGGTCACTAGGCCTTTTCGGTTTATGGTATGTTAGGAGCGCCACAAGTTAAGTGACGCAATTCCGGAAACGTATTCGTTTATGTGGCCCTGTTAAAACGAGGTGAAGTGAAGTGAAGTGTCATCTTTAAATAAAGCTCTATGGTGTCCAAAATATAAAAATAATGTAATAATAATGAATAACATAACAAAACAGATACACTGGCCGAGTACAAAGTAAAAATAAAAAAAAAACTCTTTCAAAGTGGAAAAGGTGCCCATGACATCACTACTTCTGATCCTTTATTTTTTTATTCGTACCCTCGGCCACCAAAAACTATTTCAGTTTAGTTGATATTCTAACTACGAAACGATGCACATACGCCCCAATTCGTCCAACGTTATGTATAAGCACGGCACCCCGAAGTCCACTCTCCACAAAGGTTTGCATAAACGGAATCAATCCAGAAAACATGCACAAGTGACACTTACCAAGAGCAAACAGTATCCGTCAGACCGATGGAACGTCATAAAGTTAGAATCAGCCCACACAAGAAAGCTCCTCTAAAATCGCGAACGCGCTGCTATAAAAAAAAAAAAAAGAAGGAAAAAACGAAATAATAAAAGAGACCATGTCCTTGAGAAAGCCGCGCAACTGTCTTGAGCGCAGAAACCAACCGCGTAAGACCGGAAGCAGAGAGAGTCACGTTTGTTTCGTGAACTTGAACAATGAAATTGCCAAGAGAGGAGGAGGCAGAAAAATCGGTAATTCCGGCCATTGTCTTCCCCGGCGTGGTCACGGAAGCTCCTTCCGGTTTCTTCAAATAGGTTTTTGGAATATTTTTAACTGTAAACACTCGCAGACCCCCCTGCATGCCAATTTATTGAGTGTTACAAGTACAGTGTTATGCTCTTATTTCATCCAGAATTATCCAGCAGAATAGTCTTGTATTTTCTACAAAACGTAATATAATCAGTAGAAAGTTCTGTATTGCCCTTCATATGTAATGCCCATCTCGGGTTCCCTAAATTTTAATTATTTAATTAACTTTTTACGACTTAATACGTACATAATTAGTCATTGGCACACCTTTAGTTAATACACAGATTTAGTATTTCAGTGTGTAGGTAGCGAGCTACTTCGCCAAGGAAATTCTTTAAAACAGAATGCTAAACAGGAAAGAATCCATCTATGCACGGTGTTATATCCTTTGTTAAACATTTCTTCCTCCTTTCAAACGATCTATTTCCTTTATGACTAGCACAGTCAAAAAATGTCTTCATCGGTCATATGACACTCACCGGTCTGAAGAGAAGGCACGTTTGTTGGCACCTTTGACGACAATTATCATTGGTTAGCGACACTAAAACATCTAATAGTATTCTGTTTTGTTTTTCAGGTTGCGCTAATAACACGACACGGTGTGATCTCACCTTTCAGAAGTAGGCAACCTGTGGCACTTTTTTCTGTATTATTACTTATGATTGTCGTGCTACTACACAGCACTTCCATACCATAAAAGAGTCCCGGAGTTCACTCTCGCAAAAGACGGAGGTAGCCGATTACGGCAAAATTAGAAGGATCCTAACAAATGACAAAAATCATACTAGATCCTATTGAATAAAAGCCATCGGAAAATTTCTGTTGGAACTTGGTTCACCAGGCTGATGGTTCTTGCCTTACTTTGAGACATTGAATTTTTAATCGTTTGATGACGTGGTGGTTTGATAATGTTATGGTTTGATGGTTTGATGGCTTGATGGTGATGGTGTGATGGTGTGATTGTCTGTCGTATTTTGGAACATCTGGTGGCCTAATCGTCTCATTGTCTGTTGGTGTAATCGTCAGTAGGAATTTGTAATACCACATATGTCTTGGCAGAAGACAAAGATTGCATTGTAGACAAACGTGAAGTTTATTTTTTGCCCACTATTATTTTAAAAGGAACATCCGAGGCGTTAGGATACCTTCCGAAATTCCCTTGGAAACCTGAAAGCAAAGGTAATCGTTTGGTTATGGAATGGTATTATTTCTATTTAGAAATTATCAAACGTAAAACTAGTAAACTGCAAAGAACAAACAACAACAAACCAAAAAAAAAGTAAAACAGAAAAAGAAATGCGTTAAATCCAGTCTCTACTTTCGAGAATTCCCAATGTACAATTTTATCGGTGTCTGTTGCGTGGCTATCTACACTCGGTCCACTTCATCCATGCTGGACATGACGGCGTCGTGCGAAAGCGTGCAATGCAGGAAACCTCGTCGGTCCGAGATTGCGCCAAGCTAATACCACACTCTCGGATTTAAAAATTTTTTTTTTAATTTTTTTCGCAAACATTTAGTTTATTGTGCAAGTCAGACTCGTAAATGAATTTTCTATCAAGAAAAGTGTGTTTTTGGGACATTCACAGCCACTTAGGTCGTAAACATGATCTACATGATATAAAAAGCGGATCAACAAATTGTTTCACCAACAGACTATAACACAATTTAAAACAAAACCATGGTTGAAAAACACACCCGAGTTTATAAGAAGCTAGATTTCTTCGAGACATTTCCCAGCATCTTAGGACAATTGTTGAGGCGGATTATTACGAACTAAACACTCTATATTGAGCCACGCCGCTGTCAGCTTTCCACTCCGAACGCAATTCACGTATGCGCGACGACGTGAGATCCTTGGTGCCTCCTCTCGGTCACTGCTGGAACCTCCCAAAGATAGTCAGTTTCATCCCACCACCGAAATATGTCATGAGAAGCACCACTAGCCTTTTTGACGTTCTGAAGGTCTATCGAGATATCCTCATAGTCTCATCCGGGCAACTTCACAACATTTCGATGGTCCGTCTGTCACAACAAGAAAGATTTTGACGGTCTGTGAGCTACTAACAGAAGACTTTAATTGTCCATCAGCCACCATCAGAAAATGTTTGAGGGTACATCAGACACCGTCAAGTAAGCCTGTCGCACCATCAAAGAAGTCTGATGGGCTATCAATAATGTTTGTTGGTCCATCAAGATGGTCTGTTGAACCATCAAAAATAAGTGATGGTGCGTCAAGAAGGTGTGATGGGCCTTCAAGGAGGTCTAAAGGGCCATCAAGTTCGGAATGAGCATCGTACCGGCGTACGGTCGTGTGTCACTACTACGTTGTGCACGTTAGCCCAAGTTAGCGGTTGGATCGCACTGGCTAAATTGCTTATCTACAGCTGCGACATCAGACGCCCACTGAGGCAGAGTAACTTCCGGCTGTATAAACATACACCCAACAATTTGCTTTTTGCCATCAAGAAGGGCTGATGCGACATAAAAAAAGTTTGATGGGCCATCAAAAATTTCTGATAATCTTCTCGATCGGGCGAATACATAAAAATTGAGATGGCATGCTCAGTGTTCCTGCGCAGATTGCGTTTCTTGATCTAATCGTACTCAGAGCTTCGCCATTGGCCGGAATGGTATTATTCGCAGTGATTTCTGTTCTCGTGTTCTGCAAAAAAAATAAAAAATAAACTCACCAAACCTTTCTTTTTCTTTTTCGAGTGCATTGCAGTTTTGAGCATTTTCTAGCGATCTAACACCGGAAAGCCCACCAGTATAGAGATAGATCACAAACCTGTCCTCTTGTTTGACGTAAGACGCCTAGCGGAACAAGAAGATGCTAATTAGACCGAGCTTCGTTCGCGTTTTTGTACCCACAGCTAATGATCCAGTCGACGCTTCATCGGTTTTCTGCTGGCGTTTTTCCTTCTCCTTGCCAGGTAACGTAGCTCCCTGCGTGAAAGGCCAGCCAGAAGAGCGCGTTGCCTCTACTGTGCGACATTCTTACTGCTGGAAACGACAAAGGTAAAGCATTGCGCCACCTGCGTTTGTGCAGCATATCGACGCGTCACGTTGCGGATCGAGTAACGGCTCTCTCGTGTCGCTTATCACTCCTGCCTCATCGGGTATTCCAGCTTGTGTGGGCATTCGGAGAACCGTCCTCGGAGCTAAAGGAGACTGACACTGATGCAGACACTGGGATTCCAGCTTAACAAAGAGAGGAAAAAGTCAAGTAAGTCCCTTTTTTTTTCTTTATGACCACGCAGCACATAAGAAAACGACGTTACAAAGCGGTGTGTAGGTAGATTTTCTGTTAAATCTCTAGGACTTCGTTTATTTTGACGATCCACGAGTCTTCAAAACACATAATTAATTAAACCCGAAAAACGCCGAGTTCTAAAAACAAAGCATGTAGCAGCAAGGGTAGTTTTCTGTGGAGGCCCACCCACCATAAACTTGAACTCTTAGTTTTTTTATGAAATTTGTTCACCGATGACCACTGTGTTGAGAGCCTCGAAGCAAATTATTTTAATACACCGATATTTAACACACGAATAAACTCCTAAGAGGTCTGCAGATTTTCCTTTTAAGCACACATCAGAAAATATACGCACCAGTTATACTT